CGTTCCCAAGCGTACAGACGGGAAGGCTCACGGAGAACCTCAAGTCCCGCGGCCTGCCTGATCACGCCTGCCGCTGGATCCGCTCGTTCTTGTCGGACCGGTCCTGCACCCTACAACTCGAAGGCATTGTCAGCAAGTCTATCGAATGGACGAGTGGACTTCCGCAAGGCTCACCGCTGTCACCCATCCTCTTCCTCGTCTACAACTCGCCGCTCCTCGAGTCCTGCGAATCAGCGTCGACATGCGGATTTGGCTGGATTGACGACGTCAACATCCTCGCCTGGGGAGAGACAGTCGACGAAGCTGTCAATGCAATGAACCGACTCGTACCAAGACTCGAGTCCTGGTCCGACTCCCACTCGTCCGCCTTCGAGCCCACCAAAACCGAAGCCACAATCTTCCTCCCTCCTGCCCGCGCCATGCCCACGAATCCCTCCCGAGTCGTCCTCCGCGGCCACTGCATCGAGTTCAAACCGACTCTGACAATGCTGGGATCGAAACTCGACTCACGATTGTCGTTCCGCCCTCACATCACATCCTGCGCCTCCCGAGCATCCGCCTCAGCCACTGCCATCGCCCTCCTGACGCGCTCCAAAGCTGGCCTCAAGCCGCGACTCGCACGTCAGCTCGTCGTCGCCTGTGTCGTGCCGAGGTTGCTGTGGGCGGGTGCGGCGTGGTACGACCCTGCTAAGGGTAGGGACAGGACAAAAGAGTTAGCTCGCGTCCCCAAGGCAGGAGCGATGGCAGTGACAGGCGGTTTCCGCTCGGCGGCCGGCGAAGCGCTCGAAGTCGAAGCCGGCCTCCTCCCCACCCACCTCCAACTAGACCGCGCCGTCTTCCGCCTCGGCCTCCGCGCGCTCTCCGCAACACCCAAGCACCCTCTCCACGCCCGCACCCTCCGCGCCCGCTCCAATTCATCGAGCCGCCACCCATCTCCACTCCACCGCGCTCTCGCATTCCCGCTCCTCTCCGACACCTCAGTCGAGCCCATCCATCCCGACCCGTCCCGCCCTAGTCGCCCAACCCCGTCCCACCAGTCACCCTCGCCCGCGGCAAGGAACTCGGCACGTACAAGCATGGCCAAGTCGTCAAGGCCCTCCCTGCCGGCTCCCTGCTCGTCTACTCCGACGGTTCCATGGGCGAGTCAGGCGTCGTTGGCACCGGCGTGGCAGGCAGGCAGTGGGACGGAATGGCCAAGGTCGTGTTGGATGAGGGGGAAGAAGCCGAGGTTGAGGGCTGGGAGACGACGAGCAAGGGAATGGGTCAGCACCAGACGGTTTACGCGCGAGAACTCCAAGGGATCCTCCTAGCACTCAACGCAGTCCAACACACCGCTGACCCTCCTCCCCGCGTCCTCCTCTCCATCGACAACACCTCCGCCCTCACCCATTCAACCGACCCAACCCCGTCATCCGGCCAACACCTCCGCCTCGCAATCCGACAGTTATTCGAGGAGCTCGCACACACCCGAAAGGACGTCTGTGTACGTCTGTCATGGTCGCCAGGTCATGTCGGGATCGAAGGGAATGAGGTCGCGGATGTCAAGGCGAAGGAGGCGGTGCGGGAGGAGGAAGAGTCAGCGAAGGCGCGGGAGGAACGGACGAAGCTCAAGACGCACCTCAAGGATTGTCTAGCATTCGTACCGGCCATGGCGGACTTGTTGAGCGAGTCGGAAGGCGAGGAGAGCGAGTGGGAGGAGGCGAAGCCGCGCGCCCGCCATCTCGCCAAGTCCAGCCACCTCAGCTGGCGACTTCGCTTCAACTCCCGCTCGCCAGGCAACGATGCTGGATTCCCTGCTATGACCTCAGCGCTCTGGACTGCTCACAAGCGCGCCGTCGTCAAGCGGTGGAACGCGGATTGGGCGACCTCATCGCTTCCTTGCCCTCTCGCGTACGTTGTCAAGACGGCGTCGACGGCTCACAAGTACTACAATGGCCTCTCAAGACCCCAGGCCACCCTTTTCTGCAGACTTTGCACCGATGCCTCCGCTCTCAACAAGCACCGCGCGCGATTTGACTCGACTCGATCCGACCTTTGCGAGTGCGGCAAGGTGGAGAGTTGGGACCACTTCCTACTCTCTTACCCACTACACGAGTATGCCCGCCACTCACTCTACAAGCACATTCAGCTCCGCCAGACCCCTACCATTGGCTCACTCCTCGGCAACCCCCACTTCCGCCTGCCTTGCCTTGGCTTCAGCACAGCTACCGGTCGTTTTGCGCGCTTGACAGGGCCAGCACAGGACGAGGGGCGAGATGAGGATTAGAGGGAAGGATCCGCCAATAGCAGAACATAGGAGGACCAACCAAAGCCCTCAATCACGTCGACTTGCGCCTACCCAATCTCCTTAATCAACTCTCTTTTGCCCAATTTGTCCTTGTTCTGCCTCACTCTGAGCTCAGCAAGCACCTCACAGCACATTCTACCACACGACCCGCCCACCCCCCAATCCCACCGTCATCGTCCTTGCCGTCGCGGCCCAAGAAGGTCAAGATCAATAATGGCATTATCTGGACAGTTTCTCAACGGTTTGGAGTCATTCTTTGTCTCCCTAGCCACACACACCCTCCTCTACGCAGAGAGCAATTCCTTCGGAGATTGCAATCAGTCAGTTACGTCCTGCGCCTTTCCACCCTTACTCCTTCCGACGCTATCGCATTTTCTCTCTCACCCTACTCTTTCGCTCCACCTGCACATGCCCATCTATTTTCTCCACTTCTCACAGCCTCTCCGCATCAGTTGTATCCCACCCCCTCTGTTTGTGGCAGCCAGCCCCGGCCGGTCTACATGGGCTCGACCCCGATATGACTCGAGAAAAGAACTTCTCTCTCTCTGAGTAAACCCTTCTCTCCACCACTGCTCCTCTAGTCATCAGCCCTAATCGCCCCCCCTTCTCACCCACACCTTAAGCTGTTGCTCCAGCACAGATGACGATCTGCTTGACATTGACTCATTCCGCCACAACTGCAACAGGCCTGGCCTTCATTGCTCATCCCTCCAGAGTATGTACAGGGCTACCTCCCCTCGCTTAATTCTGGATCGTTTGGTACATTCCAGTCCCTCCCGAGTCATTATACTTCTTCTATCAGCCTATCTACCTCGCAAGGGGCTGATCCCCCCTCCTCCATGTTATATTGCATCTCTTGACTGTTCCGTCACTCTCTTGCCTCCATCCCTACTCACACTCTCTGTCCGCTCTCTGTCCACTCTAATGTCCTGAAAAAATCAGCATGTCCTACAGTTCTGTCTGACTGACAGTCAGCAGGCATCAAAACCCGCTTTGATCTGGGACAAGGTCATCTCTCTACACTGAAGACTCTCTCGTCCACATCCCGCTGAACATGCTTGCTTGCCTCAACCTGCTTCAATTCTTGCAATACTTGCATGTCCCGCGATCTGTCTGCCTAACCTTCTTCTTGCCACTTCATCAGGGCAAGGGACATTCAGCAACAGCCAGGCTGTGAAGAAACTGGGCTTCCCTTGACAGCTCATCAGAGTACTGTATGGACAGATAACCAGCACTTTGCAGATCAGGGCAGGTGACTGTTCACTTCCAATCTGACCAAGGTCACCCAGCTCGCCTTGTTAAACAGAGATACACATTGTCAGCGCAAGTTCTCTGTCTCTTTCACGCTTTCACCTACATCCCCCAAAGCCAGCTTGCATGGCGCACTCCCTCCTCCTCACCTCCCAAACTTCCCGGGCTCGAGTCCTCAACATTGACTGGCAGCCTCCTTCGCACGTCCAGTGGGGTCTGTTGTTGAGCTTGAAGGGAAAGAGTGCCAGCTGACAAGTCTTCTTGAGGTTTGGGATTGTTCTCAGCTTGTAGTGGACCAACCCTCTCTCCACCTCACGCAAGGAAGCTGGGCCCCACCCTCGTGAAGACGGTCAGCGGGTATAGTGGCATACTGCGGCAGCTGTAGTATGGCTTTTGAGACCAGATGCCCGAGTGGTTAAGGGGACAGACTAGAACGTAGTTGATCTACTCGCTTTATCTGTTAGGCTTTGCCTGCGCAGGTTCAAATCCTGCTCTGGTCGGATTTGTTTTTGCCGCCGGCGTCTGCAGCAGCTCCTTTTTGCGTTCTGCCATGTTTTTTTGGCTGCCAAGTCTACAGCCATTCGAGGACAAAGAGTGCATGTCTTGCTAGACACTAGCATGCTCCTGCAGGATGGACACATCCATCTTATGTATGTACAGTGTGCCCAAGGGGGCTTGCAGGCTTGCAGCAGCCTGTCCGCACCTTGGCGGGAATGCCACACCTTCTAACAAGTCCGGGGGGCTTGCTCTCCAACATAAGCCCGGACTTGTTGAAGAGTGCCCTAGAACTCAACACTTCAAGCTACACATCAGCCAGGAGCTACTTCTCCGCTGTTGGAGCAAGGACTTCTCTAGCCTCTGCAGCCGTAGCTGTAAGCAATGTCGCTGCGCACACCTTGCTTCGGTAACTCCGCAGCCTCACACTCGAACGACTTTGCCCTGGTCTTGCAACTCAGCGTAGCCTCACAATTCGGCCTCGCCTCAAGCAACGGGTTCTTGTTTTCGCACAAGGGTTGTGAATGATGGAAATAGCCGTGATTGTAGCGGCTCAGGCCACCTTGTAATCCAGCAACGCGAGGACGCTCTATTGGCGCGCCAGCCTACTTGCTTAGATAGTTTGCCCAGGTAGGAAGTGCTAGCCGGCGCAAGAGAACCAAACGGCCTCGCTGTGAAGCAGCAACGGGAGCTGCGTCCCCCCAATGCCCAGAAAAGCGTTCTCACGCTCTCCTTACCTCTTCTTCTTGGAAGGGCGACGACATGTCGCTCAACACTGGCTCGACAAAGACGAGACTGCGAGGACCAGAGCGTGTTGCAACTGGTTTGTCCCGTCAGCGTGAGCGTAGGGAGCAACCCAGGAAGCGCCGTCCGCGCTCGCCATCATCCAACCTGCCACGTGTCCTCCGCTAATCTCCGTGGTAAGACCGTCCGTCTTACACTCTTCCCCTCCCTGAAAAGCGGACGCCTAGCGTCCGCGTTCCTTCCACCGCTTCAAAGCCTCCGTGTCCTTCACGTTCTCCAGCGGTTCCCACCCATTGTCCGTGTCCGGGTAGCCGCGCCACTTGACCAAGTAGCGGAGCCCGCGACCTTTGCCCTTCTCATCAACGATCGCCTCGACCTCGTATTCCTCCTCGCCGTCGACATCGATAGGTCCGGGTCGTGGCGGTTCGCGGGACGGGAAGTTGTCGGCGTTGTTGAGGTTGTAACGCTTGAGCTTTGAGATGTGGAAGACCGGGTGTGACTTGTCGTCGTGCGTGAGCTGAAGACGATAAGTCGAGGTGTCCGGGAAGACCTCGACGACCTCGAACGGTCCGTCCCACCGCGGGAAGAGCTTGGCGGCTCGTCCGTGGCCGTGCTTCGACTTGTAGCGCATCCTCCTGTCTCGCGAGTCGACGAGAACAAGATCACCCTTTGCGAAGGTCTCCTCGTCCGACCTCCGCTTGTTCGCCTGTTCCGCCTGCCTGACCTTCGAAACCGCGAGCGCGTCCCGCGCCTCGTTAATCTTCATGTTCCGCTCGTCGAGAAGTGAGTTGACTGCCGGCAAGTTGGAGGGAGTGGAAAGGCGAGGCGAGAGGGAGGGGGTGAAACCGAGGACAAGCTCGAACGGGGTTTGCCTGTTGAAACGTTCTCGGCAGCGTTTATCGCGTACTCAGTAGTAGGCAGGAAACGCACCCAGTCCTTCTGCTGCCTTGAGACGTACTGCCTCAACACCTGGACGACCGTCTTGTTCATCCGCTCGCTCCTCCCGTCCGTCTCCGGGTGAAACGACGTCGACATCTGCGACTTGAGACCAAGCCGTGAGTGTAGCGTGCGCCAGAAACGCGACGTGAACAGCTTGTCTCGGTCCGACACCATCCGCTCAGGCAATCCGAACAGCGAGAACCATCCCTTGAACACGACTTCCGCAATGTCCTTCACCTCGTCCTTCGCACGACACGGGAAAAGCCTCGTGTAACCCGTCAACCGGTCCGTCACCGTCAGGAGCATGTCCCGCCCCTCGGAAGAAGGCAGTGGACCGACGAAGTCCAACGCCACATCCGAGAACGGGCGCACCGGGACAGGAAGCGAGTGCAGCTTGCCCGCAACCTTGTTTGTCCTTGACTTGTTCCTCTGGCACCCGTCGCAGGACCGGACGTAATCAACGACCGATTTGGTCATCCTCGGCCAGAAGAACGAGAGGGAAAGCGACCTCAGCGTCTTCTGGACGCCCATGTGCCCAAGCGCATCGTGTGCATCATGCAACAACGCCTCCCGCAACTCCTTCACGTCCGGAACGAGGATCCTGTCCCCCTTGTAATAGATCAACCCGTCCCTCCGCTCAAATTCCGACGAGGAGCCCAAGTTCCGCACGACTGTAAGGCTCACGCCTCACTCGCGGACGTTGGCGGTGCGAAGCGGGGTTGAGCGGTTAGGAGCGGAGAAGCAGAGTTAGGGGGGATCGCAGAGTTGACGGGTGGGAGTCGGGTTTCACGCGCACACCTCTCTCTTGTTCTTTCTCTTCACGCTCTTGCTGATAGAACGAACCAGGTGTGCTCGCTCGTACTGTTTCTCTTCACGCTCTCGCTGATAGAACGAACCAGCAATACACGCGGTTCCTCTTCCCTCGCCTGAGCAGTGAGGCGTCGTCAACGTCGCCTTTCAACGACCTGAACGCAGAAATCGTCCGCCAGGTACCCCTCCTTGATCTTCTCCACCACAGCCTCCGAGATCGAGTGCTCGGAGATCCCGCAAACCGCAATCGCAGCCCGAGGTTCCGGGAAGGAGAAACGACTGAGCGAGTCCGCCACCGCGTTCGCCTTCCCCGGGATGTATGAGAGCTCGTAGTCATAGTCTGCAAGCGTCTCAGTCCACCGCGCCTGTTGCTTCAAGAGCGTGGCCTGCGTCCGGAAATGCCGCAGCGTATCGTGATCCGTCAGAACACGAAATTGCACTCCAAGCAATTCCACCCTCCATGCCTTCAGCGCCGCTACTACTGCCAAGAGCTCTTGCTCATGCGTAGGGTAGTTCCGTTCGGCAGGGATGTACTGCCGCGAGTAGAACCCGCACGGCCGCGCGGTCTTCCAATCCTCCACCTGCAACAAGACCGCCCCCAATCCCACCTTTGATGCGTCCGTCATGAGCCAGATGGGCTCATCCGAGTCCTGGTCCAGAGCACGAAGGACCGGGAGCAAAGTCACGATCCGCTTGATCGCCTCGAAAGCGACCTCCTCCTTCTGCCCCCAAAGACTCGAAATGTCCGTCAGACCTTTCTTCGTCAAGGGGGTCAGAACCGCCGTGTGTTCCGCAAGCAGCGGAATGAACTTGCGCAGATACTGCACGAGACCCAAGAAGCCTCGCACCTGCGTAACCGTGCGCAGACGCGGCCAGCTCTTGATCTTCTCCGTCTTGCTCGGGTCCGCCTGGATTCCTTCGCGCGAGATCACGTGTCCGAGGAACTCTGTGTGGAGAGTGAAGAGGTCAGTCTTCTTCATCGAGCAATACAGTCCCGCTGCTCGAAGCGCCTCCAAGACCGCCCGACAGTTCTCCTCATGCTCCTCGACCGTCCGACTGTAGATGATGACATCGTCCACGAAAGCCTGACAACAGACTCCAATGAGGTGGCGCAGAGCCTTGTTCACGCGAGCCTGATGCGTAGCCGGAGCGTTACACAGGCCCTGCGGCATCACCGTCCACTCAAACAAACCCCAAGGCGTCTTGATCGCCGTCTTGGCGATGTCCTCCTCAGCCATTGGCGTCTGGAAGAAGGCGTTCGTCATGTCGGTCTTGCCCCAGTACTTGGCGAGCGCCGCGTCCGCGAGAACTTGGTCCGGAATTGGCAAAGGCGTCCGATCTTTGACCGTGTTCGAATTCAGCGCGCGGTAATCATTGACCCAGCGCGGGTCGACCGTAAGGTCCTTCTTGGGGACAACGAAGGCGGCTGAGGCGTAAGGCGACGTCGAAGGCCGCAGACGTCCGGCCGCGAGGTGTTCCTCCAGCATTCTTTTCCACGACTCGCGCCATTTCCGCGGGATAGCGAAGCCTCGCTGGTTGTGTACCCGCTTCTCGTCAACAAGGCGGATGCGGTGCCGAGTCGAGGTCTTGGCGAGATAGTCGGCTGTAAGAGGAGGGAGAGTCGACGGGAAGAGATCCGCGAATTCCTCCATCAACCTCCCGCTCCGCTCCTTCATCTCCGCCTCCTCCTCAGTGAGCGCCTGCGCCTGGTCGACAAGTCCGAAAGCACAAGCCTCGGCGACCTTCGAGATGAAAGCCGCCTTCTCTTCACCCTCAACCGAAGCCAGCGTCTGGAACGCTGTAGCGGGTCCGTAGGCGGGAGCGAGGAGGTTGTAGGGTGTCTTGCCTTTGCCGCGATCAACAAGGATGGCAGGCTCGGGGTGTGCCGTGAGCGAAAGGCGATGTCGCTTGAGAAAGGGGACGCCCAGAATGACTCCGAAGGGTTCCTCGAGTGGCGCGACGAGAAGAGTCGTGGTGCCAGCACTCCACGTCCCGTTCTCGAGGGCGACGCCGCATCGGACGAAGTGCGTGATGGTGTAGAGGTCTCCCTCCCCCTGGATTGCAAATCGCACGCGTTCTGGTCTACTCAGCAAGAATCTCTCCAACCCTAGCCCCGCTGCCAGCTTATCTGAGATGAGCGAGACAGAAGAACCAGAGTCAGCGAGACCCATCGCCAAGCGACTTCTCCGCGACGCTGCCACCCGAAGTTGGAGGGGAGGGAAAGCGCACCCGTCCGTGTCCGAGTCGTCCGCGAGCGATTCCGGCAAGTCCACCTCGTCGTCTTCCTGGTAGATGGCGGCGAGTTCGACGGTTGACGATCCAGTCGAGATTGAGGCGTTGGTCGACGAGGGGACCGAGGCGGGAATGGGCTTGTTCTTCTCCCAACCCTGCGGGATCTTGATGACGTAGTTGGCCGGAGCCCAGTCCGTGCACTGCTTCGGGTCGTGGTCGGCGCTGATGTTGATACGTCGGCACCGGAAGCAGCCGTTGTTGGCGCTGAGCCAATCCTTCTCCCGCTCCGTAAGCTTGGGGGGTCGTCCTCCGCCTCCCGACGTCGTCTGCGGTGCGGCACTTGAGGAGTTGCTGCGCGTGGTCGCTCCGCTGCCGGAATTGGTCGACCCGTTCGACCTGGACGGTTTCGAGACGGTGATGGCGGCCGTTTTGCGACTCAGCGAGCGGATTTGCGCGGCGTTGCTGCGACGACGGGCGGCGATCTTGTTCCACTCGTCGCGCGCCGAGCGGTCAAACTTCTCGTAATTGAGCGGTGCCGTGAACACGAGGGTCGAGGTCGAGAGGGCGACGAGCGAGAGATCGTCCTCATGGAAGCCGGAGTTGCGCAGGAACGACCCCCTCCTGAGGATCGTCGACAGCTCCGGGTCCATGCCATAGAGAAGGCACTCGATGAAGTCGCGCGTCGACATAACCTTGTCCGTGAGCTGGAGGTGCTCCGTCCGTAACGACGACGACCAGACCTCGTAGTCCTCGTCGCCCTGTTTCGCCCAGCGGATCCGTCCTTTAGCGTCCCACACGTAGTCCCTCGGAAGCGCCCGTTTCAAGAGGTCGGCCCAGAACGAGTCGTACGTCTTGGCCTCGTGCTCCGTCGCCGACGAGAGGTACCAATTGTACAACTCGGGGAACCCGACGAGTCCGCCTCCGACGTAGGCGACCTTCAGTGCATTGTCCTTAACCGACTTGGCGTGGAAGAAGAGACGAGCGGCGCGAGAGAAGGAAGCGAGACCGGCCGGAGAGTCGTCGAGGAGGTAAGGTGCCTTGCCGGGCTGGTAAGCCGGGGCAGCGACAACCGTGGATGCAGGTGCCATGCGAGGGGTCCGTGAGTACCGTAGGGGTGGTGGGGAGCCGTGTTCCGAGGCCGAGGAGAGGTCGTCAGCCGAGGGAGAGTCCGAGTTGGGTGATGGAGGAGGAGGGCGGTGTCGCCGTCGCTCGTCCGGGTAGACCGAGGGGTTGACCGTAGGGATGCCGTAGCGCCTTGGTGAGGCGCGTGTTGTAGCCAGCGTGCCGCTGGTCGTTCGCAAAAAAAAAAGTGGAAGGGGCGACGACTTGTCGCTCAACACTGGCTCGACGAAGACGAGACTGCGAGGACCAGAGCGTGTTGCAACTGGTTTGTCCCGTCAGCGTGAGCGTAGGGAGCAAACCAGGAAGCGCCGTCCGCGCTCGCCATCATCCAACCTGCCACGTGTCCTCCGCTAATCTCCGTGGTAAGACCGTCCGTCTTACACTTCTGCCTTGTGCAGCAAGCCGCCTGGAATGCTTCGGCCCCAACTCAACCATTGCCTGGCCCTACAAGTGTCCGTGGGAGCTCAATGAGAAGGGGGCCGAACCTTTGGTCCTCTGAGGGTGAGACTTTGCACCTGTTGGTAGTGCAGCAGGATGAATGATGAGACGGACATTGAGGGAGGGATCTACCGGAGGGGCCGAGCTTGCTGTACCTTCTCTCTCTCTCTTCTCACTCGGGCTACCTGTGGCTCTCGTCGGAAGATATTGGCCCTATGGCAGACAGAACCGAGAAGCCAGGGCAGCCTTTTGCCGCAGTTGTTGGGTTATAAATGCAAGCTTGGCAGGCCACCCCTGTCCGAAGGGGATCTAGCTCATCGGTAGAGCGCTCGCTTAGCACCTTTCTTTGCAAAGTGTGCGAGAGGCGCAGGGTTCGACTCCCTGGTTCTCCAAGTCCTCTTTTGCCAGCGCGTCCCGTGCGTCCAGGGAAGCCCTTTTTTTGTTGCTCTGCAGCTGTGTGTGCGATCCATGATTGATAGACAGACCCTCGGACCTCTGTGTGCCCGGGACTGCAAAGCAAAAAGGTCATTTTGCTCCAGAGTGCAGTGGGTACATGGCCCCGACGCTGCAAAAAAAGGTAATGCGACCAGAGCAGGATTTGAACCTGCGCAGGCAGAGCCTAACAGATGGGCAAGAGCTTTGTAGTTCTAGTCTGTCCCCTTAACCGCTCGGGCATCTGGTCCGAAAGCCAATAGGTCGGTCGGCCAAAAGTAACGCTCATATCCAGTGACATTCCCCCTGCACGTGCACCGCCTCGCTCCCCCGCTTGCTTCCCTTTGTTCTCCTGCGGCGCCTTTGTCCTCGCGCGCGCTCAAGACGGCGCTGTGACGATGCTCGCAGAGTCAGGTTTGCTCCTTTCACCCGCTGCAGACTTGCGCACCCGCCATCGAGCTCACACGCGCGACCTGCTCCCCCTCATCCAAGTCCTCACGATGCCGTGGATCCCGACGCCGACAGACGGCATCGCCGGCTCAGAGACGCTCGCCGCTCAGCACGAGGCAGAGCAGAGCATCTCGTCGCTCCTGACCGAACACCTCGCTGCGTCCGCCGACCCGCAGCTGCAGCGAGACGTCCACACGGCCTACCTCACTCGCCTCCTCAAGGCCCCGCTCCCCAAGTACTTCACCGGCCTCGACGCCTCGCGACCGTGGATCTTGTACTGGTCCATGCACTCGCTCGCTCTCCTCGATGGCGAGCTCGACGCGACCGCAAAGACTCGCCTCGTCGAGACGCTCAAGCGGTGCCAGAACCCGGACGGCGGCTTCGGCGGCGGACCAGGGCAGATCAGTCACCTCGCGCCGACGTATGCGGCAGTGTGTGCACTCGCGCATGCGGGCCCCGAGGGATGGCGAGCGGTTGACCGGCGAGTCCACGCCCTTTCCCCTCTTGCCAGTCCTCTTGAGCTGACGATAGATCGCGCGACGACAGCCACGGCATGTACCGATTCCTCCTCTCGCTCAAGCAGCCCGACGGATCCTTCATCATGCACGAGGGCGGCGAGGTCGACGTTCGGTGCGTGCCAAGTTCCCGTCTCTGCGCGCCGCTCCTCTCGACCTGACCCGTTCACCTTGCCCTTGCAGCGGCTGCTACTGCGCCCTGACAGCCGCCGTCCTCCTCAACATTCTCACGCCCGACCTCGCCTCCGGCACCGCATCGTTCATCGCCTCCTGCCAGACCTACGAAGGCGGATTGGCCGCCGCCGCCCACCCCTTCTCGCACGACCCCTCGCACCCCGCACCGCTCGGCGAAGCCCACGGCGGCTACGCCTTCTGCGCCGCCGCGTCGTGGAGCATGCTCCGCGTCTTCAGCGACCCAACCTCGCCCTGTTTCGCCGAAGCGCCTCTCGACCTCGCCCGCGCCGAACTCGACGTACGCGCCCTCATGCGATGGTCCGCGTCGCTCCAGGCCATGCCGATCGAGGGAGGCGGGTTCCGCGGCAGGACGAACAAGCTCGTCGACGGCTGCTACAGCTGGTGGTGCGGAGGGCTCTTCCCGATCGTCGACAGCCTCCTCGCCGAGACCGACGACGAGCCACAGCCCGAGCGCGAACTCTTCGACCGGAGTGGGTGCCAGCTCTTTATGCTCGAGGAGGGAAGGACTTGCTAACCTCGTGTTCGCGCCATGCAGAGTCGCTGCAGGAGTACGTCACGCTCGTCGCGCAAGCACCGTCCGGCGGCCTGCGCGACAAGCCGGGCAAGCCAGCCGACGCCTACCACACGTGTTACAACCTTTCCGGCGACTCGACCGCGCAAACCAAGCTGCGCTTCTCCTCGTCGCGGCAACGGCAGCTCGCCGACTCGTTCTCGTCGCCGTTTGGCGGCACCATCGTTACGGAGGGAGAACAACAAGATGTTGATGAGGAGGTCGAGGTCATTCGAGGATCGAACGAGTCGGACGAGGCGGCCGAGCTACGGATGCGGGAAGTCTACTCGCGCACGCTCGCTTGGGTCGCCGCAGAGCCGAAGATTGTCGTCGGCGACCCGCAGAACGAGCTGGTCCGTCCTAGCCGCCCGATCCTCCACGACAAGCCGAAGCTAACTCGAACCACTTTGCCTGTTCGCGCGCAGCTCCCGACTCACCCGCTCTTCAACATCACGCTCTCACACGTCCGGTCTATGATGGCGTTCTTCTACAGCCAGCGGTCGTAGCCGCATCCTCCTGCCCTCATTCGTCCCCATGTTGTAGCCCTATGTATCCTCTCGCAACAGCATCTCTCCGAGCAATCCGTCCTGCACGAAAGCGTCGAGCTGGCGAACAAGTGCATGCATATCAAAACCTCTATAGCTCTAGTCGTGTCATCGCAGCCCGCCGACATTCTCGCTCAGCAAGTCGCCCACGTCGACGTCCCTCGCCTGCCGATGTTCCCGCACGCCCTCCTCCAACTCGCGCTCGAGCGCGTGCGCCTTCTCCTCCGTCCGCCGTAACCGCTCGTCCTCCTCCAACAACTGGTCGAGCTCCGGTATCCGGTCTGCATCGTGCTGGTGCGCCTTGTCCGACTCGCTGAGCCACTGGACGGGGTCGTCAAAGTCGCCTAGCAGCTCGGCAGCTTGCGCATCGAGGTCGGCGGACGAGCGGGGAGAGTCGTCGGCGCCGCCGAGCGAGTGGTGAGGCGCCGAAGGGGACGAGTCGGAGAGACGATGCGAGGCGGAGCCCTGAGTGCGGCAGTCCAGTCAGCATCTGAGTGAGCCAGGAAATGCTGGCGCAACGCACGTTCAGCAACCCTCTCCGGCCCTCGCCCGTCGGCAGCATCGGCGCGCCCTCCTCGTACGAATCGTCCGCCGACGAGTCGAAGCCGTGCCCGCCTGCTCGATGCGGCGTGCCGTGCGATGCGCGGAGCGCTGCTTCGGTGAACTGGGTATACTTGAGGTAGTTGTACAACGAGATACCTGGCGAGCCCGCGTCAGCTACGGAGGAGGGGGCGAGGAGGCGATGAGCGGAACGCACCGAAGATGGTAACACAGAGACCGCTGATGTTGATCGGCGTGAGCTTGTCGTGGAAGACTACTGTCGAGAGGAAGATGACGGCGACCTCCTTGAAGATGCCCGCGACGGAGCTGCGAGTTAGGTGCCAGGGTCAGTACGAGCGCTGGCGGGAAGGGAAGGAAAACGCGAGGCGCACAGGGTTACGACGGACGTTCGCTGGATGAGCCTGTGCGTGCCAGGGCAACAGCTGGTCAGCTGGCGAAGAGAAGGAATCTGAAGGTTCGAAGGAAACCGCGCGCACCCAAACTCGGTCACGTTCATCGAGAACGCCAGCACGCCTGGGAACGTGATCGCCGCCGCGGTTCTCAACGTCCGTCCCATCGTTCCCCAAAACTCCTCGTGCGAGAAGACGTTCCCCCAGCCATCAAAGATGAGGCTGCACGTCGCGAGGGTGACGCCCATGATTGGCGCGAGCCAGAAGAGCGTCGCGATGGGGTTGGCCATGCCCATCGACTCTTTGTGCAGGAGCATCTGCGTCAGACTCCATCGCAGCCCGCCGAGTGCCGAGGCCGAGAGGACCTGGCACATGCCGACAAAGTCGAATTGCGTCTCGGTCGAGACCATGAGGATGACGCCGGCGGTGATGATGAGGATGATTCCGGCTAGTCGCCACGAAGGCGTCTCGAGGCGGAAGAGGAAGGCGAAGAGGAGGACAAAGGCGAGCGACGAGGACTTGCACATGGCTGCGCGCGTACTCAGAGTCAGCGTGATCACCTTGACGGGCGTAGGGGCGAGTGCGGGCGCACTGTAGAAGGAGAGGGTGATGGTGCGCAAGCTTAGGTTCGAGAGACCGATGTCCAAGCCGGTCGCCATTCCGCAGGGCGCAATCTTCGTGCTGCGCGGTGTGAAATGCGGTCAGCATCGCTCATCCGCCCACCATCCTGTCTTGCACGCCGCCAAGCTTCTTGTCCGGAAATGCGTCGTCTCCCGACCCGTCTTGCCAGAGCGCCCACGACATCCGGAGATCCCGCAAACCACCCGCCCACCAGACTCCGCTTCTCTTTCCCGCACTCTCCCATCCCCGCCCCGCCAAACGATTCAGGACTTGGCGGGCGAACTCACGCATAATCCCCGGGCTTGGGCCTATTCTTCGGCCTCAACCCCTTGAACAAGCTCATCGCCGCCGCCGCAAGACACCACTGCACGAGCATGTGGATCGAAGTGACGAAGAGCGGGTAGGGGAAGTTGTAGTGCTCGGCGGAGAACATCCATTTGTCTGCAGTGTGAGAACGGAGGGGTGGGTCAGCGGTGTGGACGATGGGAAGTGGTGAGCTGGTGTGCGAAGAGTCTGGAGGGGAAGCCTTGGGGAGCGGGAAGGTGGGAGAGGGGTAGGAACGGTGGATTGATGGAGGCGAGAACGTCGGAGCTGCTGCAGAAGTCGGCTGCAGGCGGTGCAAAGGGCGAGACGAGGGCACGAAATGCGCCAAGCCATGTCGGAGAGTAGGGAAATGGCACTGAGGGGGGCCGTGCGAGCCTCCAGGGTGAGCCAAGAGCGAGGCGAGGGGGAGAGTCGGAGTCGCTTTCGCGGTTCGGAGGACTGAGAGGGTTTCGGCGTGGTGGCGGGTGAGAAAGAAGACTTGATGTATCGTTTCGAAGTCCGTACACGCGCGAAGATTCGGTAGAATGGCGGAAGCGAGGGAGGGGGTCGCATGCCGAGAGGTCCCTCCAGCCCACACAGTTCCGCAGCCGGCCCAACACCCGGCTCGTCTCCACCGCAAGAGCCACGAAGGGAAGGAGAGACACTCACTGTACACGGAAATGAGCGTCGAGAAGCAGTACCTGCGAGAGGTCCTCCTGCTCAGTCGCGAATCGGGGCCATCAAAGCGAGGGAGCGGGGCCAACGCACCACGCGAGGATGAAGAGGACGTTTACGGCGGCACTGCGCCACCAGAGAACCTGCAGCCTGCGCTTGTCGACGCTGTTGTCCTTCTCCCCACCCTGCCCGTCGTCGAAGCGGAGTCTCCTCGCGCCGTCGCCCGCCCGTGCTGCGCTGAACGAGCCTGTCCGCCGTGCCCGCGTCTCCAGCCGCGCATAGCTCGCCGAGGAAGACCGCCGCGCGTGTGCGCCCTCGCCCGCCCAAGCCCCCGATGCCGTCGCGCGCTCGTCGTCATCGCCCTGTCCGCCGTGTGCGAGCCCAGGTGCGCCCTTCGAGTCTGTATAGCGCTGCTCGAGCTCGTAGCTGTCTCGGGCGTCGCCATGCGCGGGTGTTGTTGGCGAGTCTCCTCGTCGGTGAGGGTCGTGGATGTCGCGGTCGAGCTGGGCGAGGTGGATGTCGGCGGGGTTTGCGAGTGCGCCGAGGTGGTCTGCGTCGTCGGCGACGAGCCTCTGTGCGCGCACGGTGTCGTTCATGCCATCCAGCGCACCTCGCTCGCTCCCAAGCCACTCGCTCTCACCCAACACACGTTCATCCCTCGTTCACACAGACGCACGGCGCAGTTGCACGCAAACGACACACAAACGTAATACACACACAGAGAGACCGAAACACGAAAGAGAGAGTCCCAGTAAGCGACCCAGCGCACTCAGTCACTCTCGTCGCCCAGTTCAAAGGCGTCCTCCTCGTCCTCGTCGTCCTCGACCTGGAACGAGTCGTCGCCCTCAAAGTCCGACCCGAGGTCGAGCTGGTAGCTCTTGGCCGGCGCGCGCGTCGAGCGGGCCGCGCGAGCCTTCGGCGCAGGCGCATCCGACATCGACAGGTCGAGGTCGAGGTCGTCCTCGTCCGACACAGCCGACTTCTTCTTCTTCGGCGCCGCAGCCTTCTTCGCCGGGGCCTGCAGGCGAGTGGAAGCGAGCGTCAGCGAGCGGCACACGTCTGGAGAATCGAAAAGCGCAACCCACGGCCTTGGCCGTCGCAGGCGCCTTCTTCTTCGTCACGACCGGCTCGTCGTCCGAGTCATCGAGCTCGACAGACTTGGCCTTGGCCTTGGTCGCGGTCGCCTTCTTACCCTTGGGCGAGTGCGCAGCGGGCTTCTTCGCTGGCAAGGCGTACAAATCGTCCAACTCGTCGTCCTCGTCCTCGATGTCGCTCGCGGCGACCTTCTTCTGCGCGCCCGCAACTCACGAGTCAGCTTCAAGCACACCCTAAGAGAGCGCCCGCAAGCGCACCTTCGAAGCAGCAGCCTTCTTGCCCGTCGTGCTCGGGGCCTTCTTCTTCTTCGGCGGCGTCTCGTCCGCGCCGTCCTCGTCGCTCAAGTCGAGGTCGATGCTCGCCGCCTTGCGCTTCGCGGGCGCCTTGGGCTTGGCAGCAGCGGCGGCGGCCTTGGGCTGCGAGCAAGCGAGAGAGCTCGTGTCAGCGAAAACGGGTCACGGTGAAACTCGTGCGCGCTACGCACCTTGGCAGCGGCCTTCATGACGACGTCCTCGTCGTCGTCCGTCTCGGGCAGCGGGACCGCCGGCTTGGCCTTCTTCGGCGCCGGCGCCTTCTTCTTCGGCTTGACCTCGAAGTCGTCGTCGTCGTCCGAGGCGTACGCCGCGCGCTTCTTGGCCGTGCCCTTGCCCGCACTCTTGGCCTTCTTGAGCGAGCGCGCCTTGTTCGCCCTGTCCTCCTCGAGCATCGCGTCCCACTTGCCCATGAACGCATCGAGGTCCGCGCGCCACAAGTCCTGCACGCTGCGCTGCAACAACGCGTCGAGCTCGGCGCTCCGCTGGTCCCGCTCGGCCATCAACCGCTCGACCTTTTCGCGCGTCAGGCTCGACAGCTGCATCGTGAGTAGGTAGTCGTAGTCCGAGTCGGCGCCGGCCTCGACCGCGTCAGGGTCCTCGACCTCCTCGTCGCCGTCGCCGTTCGCGTCGACGTCGCCCGCGACATGCATCTTCTGAACCTTGGGGAACGGGCGGAAGTCCTTCTTGCGCAGCTCGGCGACAATGTCGGCGCGCTTGCGGTTGCTCAGGACGAGCTGCTTGTCGATGATCATCTTGATGAAGCGCGCCTGGTTCGACAAGCGGTCGTGCACGAGCTCGAGCTCCGAGACGAGGTGCTTCTTGCGCTTGTGGTAGAACTCGAGGCGGACGTCGTAAAAGTCCGAAACGATGTCCTCGGCCGTCGCGTACTTCTTGATCTTGCCCGTCGGGTCGAAGCAAACCATGTTGCTCGTGTTGAGCTTGCTCGTCACCTTGAACACCTTTTCGAGACCGTCCTTCTCGATCGCCTCCTTGCCCGCCGTCGTCAGCGTGACGACAAAGTGCACAGTCGTGTCCGTGTGGTACTCCTTGTAGTCCTGCGAAACGGGCCCGCATACGGAAGTCAGTTTGAGCCCGCAGCGTGAGAGCGTGGCGCACGCACCTTACACCACGCCGCCTGCTTGTCGCTCCCGGCGACCCACGACTCGAGCATCTCCTTGTAGTTCTGCGTCCAGGTGCGGATCGGAAGCTCGGTGATCTCGACCGTCGAGTCGTCGATGCGCTGGATCGTGCCCGTGCACTTGTAGCCTTCCTTGGCGTCCTTCTCGATCGTGCCCTGCGAGCAGAATTCCGTCAGTTCGAGCGAGAGAGAACGCAGAGCTCCAAACGCACCCGGAAGCCGCGGTACCACGGGTGGATCGGCTCCATCTCCTCGCCGTCGAGCTTGCGGCGGAGGTTCGCGACGATATCGGACGGGTTGAAGTTCGGGATGAACGATGACCATCCCGTGCCGATACCGTCCGAGCCGTTGACGAGGACCATGGGAAGAATGGGGATGTACCTGCGGTTGAGGAGGTCAGCACGACGCCTCCGCTCCAGCTAGCCGGCGAACGCACCAGCTCGGCTCGATGCTCTGCCCGTCATCGTTGAGGTAGTCGAGGATGGCGTCGTCCGACGGGTGGAAGAGCGTGCGCGTGATCTGCGCGACGTTTGTGAAGATGTAACGGGCGCTGGCCGCGTCCTTGCCGCCTTGAAGACGCGTACCGAACTGGCCGTTCGGGTCGAGCACGTTGATGTTGTTGCTGCCGACGAAGTTCTGCGCGAGGCCGACGATCGTGCCCTGGAGCGAGGCGTCGCCGTGGTGGTACGCCGAGTGCTCCGAGATGTAGCCCGAAAGCTGGCCGACCTGCGCACCGAACGAGTTCGGTTAGTCCTGCACTTCCCGGCTCGCCACGCCGCGCACACGCACCTTGATCTCGTTCTTCAGCTTGCGCTTGAAGCAGCCGAAGAGAACCTTGCGCTGACCCGGCTTGAAGCCGTCGACGACAGACGGAATCGAACGGATGTTGTCCGCCATCGAGAAGAGGATGAGCTCCTTGTTGATGAAGTCCTTGATCGGGACCTCGTCGACATCGTGGTCCATGTACGTGCCGGGCTGCGGGTGCGAACAGGGTGAGCGGCCATCGAGCGGAGAGAGCGACCGCACGCACCACAAAGCCGCGCAGCCACTCCTTGCGGTCGTCGGCCTTCTTCTTGTTGAAGGCCATGTCGATCAACGCGCGGTCCTCGGGCGTGAGCTCCTTGAACGGCAGGCGGTGGCGGTTCATGTCGCCGAAGTACTTCTTGGCGTCGTTCGTGTCGCTCGTTCCCAGTCCCTTGAAGTACTTGATCTTCCAGCCGCGGCCGTCGTCCGTCTCGGCCTTCCACGCCTCGTACTCGGGGATCGTGAAGAACGAGATCTCCTTCTTGCCCTTCGAGACCTTGACGATGGGCGTGATGAACTCGACGAGGAAGTTCGGCAGCTTGAGCAGCGACGGGAACCAGTAGTCGAGGAAGTTGATGATCAAGCCCTTGATGTGCGAGCCGTCGTGGTCCTGCGGGCGCCGGCAGCAGAAGGAAGAGTCGTCAGCCGAGGAAGTCGAGCTGACACACAAGGACCGCCGCCTCGCACCTGGTCGGCCATGATCATCAGGCTGCCGTAGCGGAGCGAGTCGGTGCTCGTGTACGTCTTGCCCTGCTGCAAGCCCATGATCTGCTTGATCGCCTGGATCTCGGCGTTCTCGAGAAGCGCCTTGCCGGTTGCCTCGCGAACGTTGAGGAGCTTTCCGCGGAGCGGGAAGACACCGTAGTTGTCGCGACCGACGACGGCGAGACCCGAGACGGCGAGCGCCTTGGCCGAGTCTCCCTCGGTCAGGATGAGCGTGCACTTGTTGCCGTTGCGAGTGCCGGCATTGTTGGCATCCTCGAGCTTGACGAGGCCGGTGATGCTGCGTATGGTGGGAGGGTCAGGTCAGCGCAAGACGGAGACACGAGCGGAGATGGAGCGCACCGCGAGCGCTTCGAGCCGTCCGTCTTCTTAAGCGCCTGGTCCTGCTTGAATTTCGCCCAATTGACGATGTTGTCGATGACGCCCGACTTGGCGACTGCGGGAGCATGTTAGTCAGCGCACTGCACGACGCAAGAACGAGGCAAGATCGGGCGCACCCTTCTTGAGGAACTCGTCCGAGAGCTGGCACTTGCTGCCAAACTTCTTGACGCCGAGGGTCATGTTCTCCTTGGTCTGCGAGTCGAACGAGGGGTTGTCGATCTTGCAGTTGACGAACAAGGCGATGTGGTTCTTGATCTGGAACGGCTTGACCTGGACGCCCTTGTGCTTCTTCTTGACGAGGTCGACGAGGCCCTGGACGATCTGGTCCGCAACGTACGTGACATGCGACCCGCCTTTCGTCGTCGCGATCGCGTTGCAGTACGAAACCTGCTGGAACTGGCCGTCCGAGACGGCGAACGCGACGTCCCACCGGTCATTGACTTTCTCAAAGACGACCGTCTGCTTGGCCGCGTCGGCGTCGGCTGCCGGGCGCATCTCGGCGTCCTCCTCGTCGTCGCCAAAGAGCGCAGCCGCAGCCGTCACGGGCGCCTCGCCCTTCTTGCCCTTCTTCTTGGCGGCGGCGGCGCCGGTGATCTCGTTCGTGCCGGCGAGGAATTTCTCGACGTAGGCCTTGAAGTCTTTGCAGCGGAGGACCTTGCCATTGAGGTAAACCTTGACCTTGGGTACGATTCCGGCCATGTCCCACACGCGCTTGTGGAGGAGCGCAAGCGTGTCGCGGTCGAACCCGTCGTGCATGTTGAACCGCTCGAGGTCGGGCGTGAACGTGATGAGCGTGTACTGCTCGCCGTCCTTCTTGACGCTCGTGATCTTGGGCGCGCCCTTGCGACTCATGTTGTCGCTAAAGACCTGGCGGTACTTGGACTCGCCGTCGGCCGTCTCGACGATGAACTCGGTCGAGTAGATGTTGGCGAGCTTGGCGCCGTAGCCGTTCCGTCCACCCGTCGTCTTGGCCTCGTCGTCGTCGTAGTTCGAGGAGGTGAGGAGGTTGCCAAAGATGAGCTCGGGGATGTAGATGCCCTCCTTCTTGTGCTTCTCGATTGGGATACCCTTGCCGTCGTTCTTGACGGTGATCGTCCGCTTCTCCTCGTCGATCGTCACGCGGATCTCGCTCATCGTCGGGTCGCGGACCTGGCGCGGGCGTGCAGGCCGTCAGTTCGCTCTTCCACCTTCAGCGTCGCAGCACTCACCTTGTTGTCAGCGGCATTGACGAGGATCTCATCGAAAATCTTGTAGAAACCCGGCGTAAACGTCGTCTGACTGCTCACCCACCAGACGCGCCTCCATCAGCCGTGGGAAAGAAAGGCGAGTGAGGGTTTAACGCACCGGAAGACCATCTTCTCGCTCTCGCGGTCCCACACCCACATAGGCTGCGTGACGGGCTCGATCGAGCCGATGTAGGTGTCCGGGCGCTTGAGGACGTGTTCGAGTTGAGTGAGCTGGTGGGTGTGAAGCGGCGCACGGAGGGGAGGCAGAGGGCGGGCGAAGGTTGGGCGGAAGGTCGCGAGTCGGCGAAGGGCAGATGGCCGACGAGAAAGCGCAGGATCGAGGGCGAGAGCAATAGGAGAAGTGGCGGAAGGCATTCCCCGCCGGTTCAAGGCGAAGGCGAGAGAGGCATGGAATGAAGTGCGATCGAAAGAGCGCCAGAGAAGAACGTGGCGCGATGGCGAGCGGCACAGAGAGTCGAGAAAAGGGCGAGAAAGCGGGACGAGAGGATGGCGAAGTGACGGGGTGCGATGTGGCGGGGCATGGGCGTGGCGCGCAAAGGGGAGAAGAAGGACAGACAGGTTGAGGATCAGCAAGCGCTCCTCCAAGGAAGAAAGCGGACGAAAGCAGGAAAAATCCAGGCGAACGCACCTTGACATACGTCTCGCTCGCCGACTTGGCCTTGCCCTTCCCCTTCGCGGGAGCCTTCTTGCCCGCACCAAAGTCGTCGTCGTCCTGTACAGCCGGGAGCTTATGAGCATCCCCCTCCCGTCGCGCGACGGGTTCGCAAAGGTCGGAACGCACGTCCTCCTCCATCCTCTCGTCCTCCTCCTCCTCATCACTCCCCGCACCCCTCCCGCCATTCGTATCAATCTCCTCCAGCGGCTTCGCAGCTTTCTTCCCCTTCCCCGTTGCGGCGGTCTTCTTCGCTGCGGGGGCTTTCTTGGCGGCGGGAGTCTTCTTCGGGGCGGGTTTGGGGGCGGCCTGGTGCGAGCGATCAGGGGGAGGAGCAGGAAGGATGTGGGGATTGGGCGGCATGCAGGAGAGAGGAGGAGGATAAGCGGGTTTGCGGGAATGTCGAAGGCGGGGCAGAGAGGTAGAGGCGGAACGTATCGAAGGCGACGGACGCACAGGATGGGTCGAACGGCGAAGGGAGGAGGGGGTTGAGGGATTTGAGGCGGTTGGCGTTTGTGAGGTGAGGAATGGGTGAAAGGGAGAGAAGGAAGAACAGGCGAGGTCAGCTTTCCGGTCGACTCGGTGCCGTCTGCAGATCCAAGAGAATGATGCAGAAACGTACCTGATGAGCGAGAAACACATTAGGAGCGGGGCGCAGGTTCGGTAAAAGGCGTAGGAAGTAGAGAGGAGGACAAGACGAGGTCAGTGTCTGTTCTCGCACCTCTATAGCTCCGTGCGCGTCCACAGAAGCATGCGTACCTGTAAGAGAGCACGCAACGAATTCACGGCAGGCCAGGCGAGCGAGGGAGATGGCGAGGTCGTCGAAGTCGTCGAACAAGGTCAGCGCGTCCATCCACCCTCTTCCCTCGCTTCAGGCCGCCCATCCAGACGCGCACTCACCTTCTTGCCCTTGGCACTCGTCCCTGCCCCCTCGAAATCCGATCCCGAGTCGCTCATGTGCTGTTACGCGCGTGAGGGTGTGGTTTGTTGATTGAGCGAGCGGGTCAGCGTCAGCTCGGGAAACAAGCGGGAGGGAGAGGACAGAGGCGCACAAAGTCGTCTTCGTCGTCTGAGGATGCGTAGCGTGGCATTCTTGACGAGAAGAGGCGAGTTGGCGAAGAGAAGAGTCGCGACGAGGACGACGAGCGAGGGGGAGGTCGGCGACGATGGCTCGGGCGGGACTGGCGATTCGACTGAGTGCAGTACGAGTGCGGGATTTACTGGCCAGTGTGCCCAATAAAACGCGGTGGCCACTCGCTTCTCCTCCTCATCGCCTCTCTCGCTCTCTCTCGCTCTCTCCGACTCGCTCGCTCGCTCAGTCTTCTTGCTGCCTGACTCGCTTGACCAGTCCAGAAGCTCACTCTACAGAACCTGCTCAGACAGTCCGGCTCTGCTGCCGCCGCTCACCTCGAGCCGATCCCGCACGACCACCTCTCCCATGCCTTGCGCCGCCGGGCGCTGCAGACCCTGACCCTGACTCACGAGGAAAATGGTGTTGCTGCCGAAGAAGCGGCGACGTAGCGCCGCATCTGGGGGGCCTCAGAGACGTCCACCGTCCTCGTGAACGCCGCCGAAAACCAAATGACCGCCGCGCACCTGCTCGATGTCTACGACAACCCTTGGGCGTACAGCGAGAAGTAACGCCAGATCATCGAGCAGCGCTCGTCGGCGAAATTGGCGCTCGTGCCGGATCAGGTGTGGGCACGAACTTCGTGGCAGATCACGGCGCGCTGGTCTGTCGACGCTGCGAGCGACTTGGCGAGCTCGTCGAGCGGTGCGCGGTCACGCACCAAGAAGGTCGAGGCATCGAGTTCGAGTCTGCGCATCTCGTGCCGGTGAGGAGGAAGGAGTTTTCCGGCGGAACTGTCTCTTGCGGCCAACAGGATGTGGGTCTCGCTCTCGAGCTCGAGAATCCCTTGCGCGTCCGCTGACGATAAAACTGGAGCACAGATCGATCTCCTGCGGCAGGCGCAGGTCGTGCCCGAGCGTGCACACGTCAACATGCAGGCAAACCGGCTCCACCGTGCGTGTCTTTCGAGCCTGCGGCACTCACTTGCGCTGACGCCATCTCTCTCGCCCGCAACAGTCGCATACGACATTCACAGGGACATTGACGATCAATTACTCGACCTTTTCCCACACGGAGGCCAAGTCATCGCGCGGCTTGTGTCCGAGACCAAGTACCAGGAGGAGCGACTCGCCGCGAGTTCGAGCGATACGATATCCGAAGCTCCCGCCAAACTGCCCGCTCGCCCGCCGTTCAAGCTCTTCTACGCTGCGGCCGAGAAAGACGGCGCCTGCTTCCGTCTCATCGCGTCGAACCGCAAAGACATGCCGGTCATCGTGCGATACGACCAACACCGTATCCCGACCGTCTTTGCGCTAGAAGGGATCGCGCCGGACGACCCTCTTCGTCTCGTCCTCTTTGGCGCGAAGAACCCGCCTCCGAGCACGCCCGTCTTGCCCGCTCTCGTCGCGCCCGTCTCGATGAACCTGTTGATCTGGGCGATGAGCGACCGTCTGCGGCGTTCTCCTCCTTCTCACGCGAACCTGCGCCATGAAGCTTCGGTGCGTCCGGTTCCCTCAACGGCGCTTTCTTCAAGGAGTTGACCCGAGGTTTCTTGCAGATCCTCGCGCAGTTCGTCGACCTCCTCCTCGAGTTCTGGTTCATCAACGACAAGACTCCTGCTGCCGACGTTGCAGAACTTGTCGGGCGCGCGCGCGTACTCGTCCAGGAGCACGGAGGTCCGGAATGGGCGCAACAGCTTTCGAGACTCGCGACGGTCGACTATTCAGACATCATCAAGGCTGTCGCGCTCCCCGACAATGCACTCCGCTCGCAGGACCCTCCGCCGACACCCGAAGAGCGCGTGTTGATGCTCGAGGCTGCAGCAGCAGCAACCTACAGCGACGACGAGGATGCCGACCTCCCTCCGCTCGACTTCCCGGAGCCAAATCTTCCTTCACAGCTCGGCAGCGTCCCTTCTCACCCGCTCACTACCGCCGCACTCTAGGAATTCGAGATGCAGCAGCTCCGCGACTCGGAGGGAAAGTCGACGTCGACGTCGGTGCCGGAGAAGTCGTCTACGCCCTCCCTTTCTCCGCCAGCGTCGTAATCCATTTTGGCTACTAGTCCGTCCCTGCCGGCACCTGTCCTGGACGACATCGCCGTGCGTGCTTGCCCGGGTACCTCGTCGTCTGCGCAGGCGCGCTTCGCTCGTTCGAAGCGACTGGTCCGCACCCGGTCTGAAGGTATTGCACTCCTCCTTGCTTGTTGTTCGTTGTGTACGCTCCAACCATCTGCCAATTCATGTCGAAACTCGCTCGACTTGCGCAGAGACTGCCTCGTCGCTTACGAGAGGACGAGTGAGCGGTGAATGATTGTTCGAGTGAATTGACTCGCTTGTCTGCGCTCTTCCAACGCTGCACGCAGTCGACCATCCTCCTCATCGCCTCTCTCTTCTCTCGTCTCTCTCTCTCTGACTCGCTCGCCCGCTCGCTCAGTATCGCTCAGCTGCGCGCTTGGACTGCCCAGAGACTCGCACTCACGACTCTGCTCGCTCGACCAGCCTTGCCACCATCTCCTCTCCTCTCTCGACTCGCCCGCACCGCCTTCTCCTCCGTCATCGCTCCGCCCTCTCCCCTCGCACGCACGGCAGCCCCCTCCGAAGCTCTCTCAGCATTCCCACTGACCGCCGCACCCACACTCAAATCGACCAAACCCCAACGACCGCCGATGAACAACCCCTTCGCCAAACCCCCACAGACCGAACTCTCCGCCGCCGCACAGCGATTCCCCGACGTCTTGCGGAACGATCCGGATCTCCAACAGGGGCAGGGGCAGTATGGGTATGCGCAGGGACAGGGCCAGGTGTATCCGCAGCAGACTGGGTACGGCGGAGGAGGGGGCATGAACGGGTATGGGCAGGCGCAGGGAGGGATGGGCTACGGCGTGCAGCAGCAGCAACAGCAACAGCAGGGGTACTTGCAGCCTCAGCAGACGGGCTACGGCGGCGGAGGGTACGCGTCGCAATCGCCTATGGGAGCAGGGGGGATGTACTCGCAGGGCCAGCAGCAACAGCAGCAGTACGGCTACCAGCAACCACAGTACACCGGCATGCAGTCCTACCAGCCCTCCTACTCCCCGGCCCCTCCTCCGCCAGTCCAAGACCTCGACCCTTACTCCTCCCTCTCCTCCTCGTCCTTCGCCTCTTCCTCCCCCGCGCCCTCCTCAAACCAACAAGCGGGGTCGTTGTTGGCTGTCCCGCAGACGCAGAGTCATCCGCGTGATTACGTGCAGGAGAACAGGGCGCAGTTGATGAGTTGGGACGAGTACGCGTGGAGGCAGCTGGACAACAGGTGCGTGGCGTCGTCATGTCGCTCATAAGCTACCGTCTCGATGATGTCGTAGCTGACGTGGGCGTTTCGCTTGCTTGTGCAGGATCGACGTCCGTCCCCCTCCTCCCTCTCCCCTCCTACCTTCCCCTCTCGTCCGCACGCTGACTGCATCGCGCTGCGCAGGCCCTCCGCGAAGCCTGGCAAACCCGCCTCGCCCTCCTCCGCGCCGCCTCAGATCAAGGCGCCGACCCAGTCCGCACGGAACAGCTGCGCAAAGAAGGCGAGGGGTTTGTCGGTGTGTCTCCTGCTTCTCTCTTCCCTGCAATGAATGGAGCTGATTGGGCGTGATGTGTGTGGGACAGACTCGATTCATGCGGCCAAGATGCAGCTTGGAGAAGTCAAGGCGGGTTGGAGGCACAGTACCGATGCCGCGTCGTGCGTCGCGCATCTTCTCGTTCTCTCCTCCTCCGTTCCCTTCGCGCTTGCAAGGTCAGGAGCTAATCCTTGAGCGGACGGTGCACAGGAAATCCCGCGTCCGCGAAGCGCTCAACGCAGGTCTCTCCTCCCTCCCTCGTGCGTCCTCCACTCGCGCTTCTTCTCACTCCCTCCTCCCTCGGACATCGGAGCTGATTCGTGCGTTCGATCTCGACACACAGCCTACCCCTCCCCTCTGCCTCCCCAAGCTTTAGGAGGCTCCTTCGCCCTCTCGGCTACGAAGCAGCATATTCTCTCGCAGTACGGTCAGCCGCAAGCGCAGCAGGGGCAGATGACCGGAATGGGGATGGGGTGTTACGCTGGCGGCGCGGGAGGATACGGTGGAGGAATGGGGATGCAGCCGCAACAGACTGGCTACGCGGGAATGGGCGGGATGGGCGGGATGATGCCGCAGCAGACGGGGTATGGTGGTGGATACGGTGCGTACGGAGCGGGAGGAGGCGGTGGGGGGTATTACTAGTTGACGAGCAAAGGCGGCGGACGGGCGGAAATGGACGCTGTTCGATATTCGGTGCGGAGTGCTCGGCGAGGACAATGTTCTCGCGGTACACCGGCTTGCTGATCTGCGCTTATCTCGCTTGCTCGTGAGCAGGCTGAGCTGCACTGCCGGACCAACATCGTCGCCCGACTTCGTGTTGCTCTCGCTCTTCTCGCGCCGTCTTCTCGTCCACTCCTCCGCGACCGCTGCTCATCCGCCGTACTACTGACTGCTAAGACTACGTTCTTCTCCAGCGCTTCTTGCGAGGAGGAACAGAACGGCTTGTTGTGCGCATGCGCAGAACGGTCGACCTTCGCAATCCGCTCTCACTCTCTCTCGCTGCGTCGACTTGACCCAGCGCGGAGGCGACGGATGGATACGACGGAACAGTATTGCGCACAGACAAGATAACGGCGTAGGAGGAGACGACGAGACAAAGACGAAGGAGTGGAAAGAATCAACGTCCTGCAAGTCCGCCTAGAACGGCCTCGACCGCGCCCACCTCTCCCTGTTGACCCCGTAGATTCCTGCCGCACGACGTCCAAGTTCGGGCTTGAGGAGCGAGCGTGCGCGGAAGCCGGCGTCGTCGGCGTCCGGATGGTGAGGATCGAAAACCCTGTGCGGATCATTCCGCTGCTCCGAAGTGATGTAGTTGCCGTGCAACTCGAGTAGCGGCTCCAGCGTGTGAGTGCCTTCGTGAAACCCTTCGTCGGGCGCGTAGTACGCCAGAGGAGATGTGAGCGGCGCCAGTTGCATTGTACTGCCGTTCTGGAAGATCTCAGCCCGCCGCTGCTGGCGTTGCTCGAACTGCCTTCTGCTCGCCGTGCTGAGCGTACCGTAAAGATAGTTCTAGGAAGTGATGGGAAGCGAGATCAGCTTCCGAGCATTCGGGACGGCTTGTTGGGCAACTCACCATCATGCCGGTCGCACGTCCCGCTGCGATGTCTGCATGAGTGATGCCAAACGATATGACTGTCTGGAAGGCTTTACATCAGATGCTTTGCTCCGGCGACGAGCTGAAAGGAACTCACGCCGTTCTCGATGCACCTAGTCCAGTAATTGAGGGAGGGCTGCAGACACGGTGACAAAGGAGGTTCAGTAGAAGCTCGGGAGTCCTGCTATGGAATCTGAGGCGCTTACCACCGGTGTCTGGGCCGAGCGATCTGTCCACAAGGTGTAGTCCAGGTAGACAAGGCTGCGTCCCAGAGCGACCAGGGCTTGAGAGCGATTGCGAGCGAAGGCAAGAGCGTGTAGGACCGCAACATCGAGTCCTTCGGCCCAAGCAAGGTTGGCCCATCGCCCTTGGAGTCGATGGCCGCGCGAGTCGTGCGTCGGCAGAGTCGCGAAAAGCTCCGTCAACATGTGAGCATTCACTCGCTGCACAGTCCGTGTCGGCGGTTCGTCGTGTAGGCTTGACATCTCAGGAGCAGCGTTGAGAACGAGGCGAAGCGGGAAGAGAGAGGCAGAGAAAGGCAGAGACCTCGCAGCGACCGACAAGATCGGACTCCGCGGACTCTCCGGTCCCGTCTTACGCTCGTACCAAGCTCGCGGAGGCGCTCTACACGGCGAGCGGACAAGTGCGGCTTGGCGGGCGAGGGAGGCAGGTTCATGTGCGCAACTGTTCTCGCCTGAGTTGCGTCGACTTGCGCTGTACCGCTGCTAAACACCCTTTGGACATTCCCTGCGGGTTTGCAGCGTTCTTCCGGCACGGCCTCGTTCTGCGAAACGATTCCTTGCGCGGCGAAGGAACGCCGACCTTCGCAAACCGCTCTCGAGCTCTTCGGCTACCTTTCCTCCACCCCAGCGGAGAAGCGACGAACAGATACGACGTCGCGAGATTGAAGAACAATTGGTGGACGGAGGAAAGAAGGGGAGAAGAGAAGGAGGATGAGGCAGGGAGAACACGACGACCTCCAGGTCCGCCTAGAACGCTCTCAACCGTGCCCACCTCTCCCTGTTGACCCCGTAGATTGCTGCCGTACGACGTCCAAGTTCGGGCTTGAGGAGCGAGCGTGCGCGGAAGCCGGCGTGGTCGGCATCCGGGTGGTGAGGATCGAAAACCCTGTGCGGGTCGGTCCGCTGCTCCGAGGTGATGTAGCGGCCGTGCAAGTCAAGGAGCGGCTCCAGCGTGTGAGTGCCGTCGTGGACTACTTCGCCGTACGCCAGAGGAGAGGTGAGCGGCGCTAGCCTGACGAGAGTTCCGGACCGCAAGATCTCGGCGCGTCGACGTTGGCGCTCTGCAAAGCCCCTTGCGCTCTCGCCAGAGAGTCTGCTGAGCAGATACTCCTGAGGGTGTGAAAGGAGTCAGGACCGGGGCACAGGGACAGTTGCGGAGAAGAACGCACTTCCATATTGCCGTGCGCACGCCCAGCTATGTGCTCCTCTCGGGCGACTCCGAAGGGGATTGCACCCTGTAGATGGGTGTCAGGACCGCTCAACGCCGCAAAGCTGAAGCAACTCACTCCGTGCTCAGTGTGCGTGGCCCAGTAGGCGATCGGGCGCTGCGGGTTGACGGCAGGGTTGCCGACTGCTTCAGCCAGAGCGCGCCGAAGGGTCAGCTTGCCAGAGTCACGCACCACTGCGGTGTGCGCTGAACGCCCGGTCCAGAGCGTGTAGTCCAGGTACATGATGGAGTGCACAAGGGCGATCAGGCTCTTCCCCTTGTCGCGGGAAACGAGAAAGGCGCGCGCAAGGGCAGTGTCGAGTCCTTGAGCCCAAGCAAGTCCAGCCCACTGCCTTGCGAGGGGTGCACCCGTGTAGTCGTGTGTCGGCAAGGTGCTGAGGAGCCGCGCGATCAAAGGCGCGTCCATGGTCTGGAGATCCCGTGTAGGCGGGTTGAGCACGCCCGGCATGTCGTAGGCGATACCGTGAGGTGTAGAGGGCAAGGAAGACAAGCAGGGGCGAGGGAAAGAAGCGATGCCATCGGTTAGTCCAAGGAGTGTCCGAGGAGATCCCACGGAGTCACCGGTCCAAGCTCCGCTTGCAGAGTGACCAGGGTCAGACTCAGCGCGGAAGTGACCGACGGGAGTCTAGAGGGACGGCTCTGAGAGGGCCGACGCTGCAACGACCTCAGTCTTTCGCCCTCAGAGGTCGCAGCCTAGCGAGGACTCGGCCGATTCGAGTGTAGAGACGACGCTGCATTGCACAGCTCGACTCGAGGCGAGAGGGTATTTCGTGACGACGGAACGAAGCGATGCGAGTAGTGGACAAGCGAAAGGGGATGCGAAGGCGGGCGGGCGGGTTTGCGGACTCAGTCGAGGTCCATGGCGACGGCCTGGCTCTGGCGGCTCGACTCCTTGAACTGCGAGGCGAGCTGTCAGCGACAAGGCGAGCGGAAGGGAGCGCGCAACCCACCTCGCTGGCCATCTTGCCGGTTGCGACGGTGTTCGAGATGAAGTTGCTGAACTTGGGCGTCGAGGCTGCGAGGAAAGCGAGGCTCAGCCGCCGACTAACGAGCATACTGGGCCGCAGACGACTCACCGGACGAAGAGATGCGGTTGAGGACGGCCAGCGTGCGGATCGCGCTCTTCTGGAGTTCGAGCGTGCGCTCGGCTTCCTGCTTGACGGCGTTGTCCTTCAGGACGATGCCGAGCGTCTCGGTGAAGGCGGGAACAGTCTCGTCGAGGCCTGCGCACAGTGATGACGTGAGTGGACGGGTCGCCAAGCGAAGAAGGGAGGAAACGCACGCTGCGAGACGGCCGTCGGCGCGACATGGGCGAGCTTGGTGAGCATGACGTAGCAGAGCTTCTTGACCTCGTCTTCGTCCGAGAGGCCCGAGATGACCTGCGAGAGGTACGCCTGCAGGTCGATCTCCTTGAGACAGGTGTCGAGCAGCGAGTGCATGCACTCGTAGGCGGTCTGCGGGCGACAGCCTGGTCAGCGATGACTTGCGGTTAGCGCCGTACGACCCACCTTGCGAATGTCGAGACCATCGTCAACTTTGTGCTTGAACGGACCCATCTCGACCATGCGGATCAGGCTCTCGTCGACGACCGTCTGCGCGTACAGCTCGGGCAAGAGCGAGTCGAGGTGCGAGCGGACGAGGTACGGCTTGTTGTGCGCGGCCGAGTTGAGCGACGAGAGGGCGAGGCGGCGGACGCCGAGGTCCTCGTCGTGCATGAGCTTGAAGAACTCGACGATGAGCGGCGCCAGGAGCTCGTCGTACGTCGTCGAGTCGTTCGTGAAGGTGAAGCGGAGGGCGGCGATGACCGTTGCGCGGGTGTGGCGGGAGTTGGACGAGAGGCGAGTCTGGAGCTGCGGGAGGTACTTGGCCGGGTTGATGACGGTGAGCTGGCCGAGGCAGTCGGCGGCAACGTTGCGCGTGCCCTCCTCCTGCGCCTCGCAGTTCTCGAAGAGCGGCGTCCAGAGCTGGTCAGAGATGGCGGCGAGCGACTCGGTCGACGAGTGGATGATGACCTCCTTGAGGGCCTGCAGCGCGAGGTAGCGCTTCTTGTCGTCCGACTGGATCAGGTCGAGGATGGTCGAGAGGAACGCCGACGGGTTGCCGACAGCCATGTTTCCGCCAGCGTATGCGGCTGAACGCCTGACGTCCTCCGACTGCGACGAAAAGTGCTCGACGACCTTGGTAAAGGCGGCCTTGTGCGACGAGAGATCGACGACGCGACCGACCTCGCCGAGCGTGAGGAGGGCGAGAATCAGCGCGTTCGGCGACGCCTTCGCGGACTGGGGCGACGCAGCGTTGTCAGCGGAGACAGGAGAACTCGTCTGGTGAGCGCCACACACCTTGACCACCTTCTCGTTCTCCTTGACGACCTTGGCAGCCTCACCCGGCTCCTCGACGACGACCGCACCGATGCACTTGGCGACGACAGCTCCAGCACCCGTCTGAGCCGCGCTCTTGCCCGCCTCGGACAGCTGCGCGATGAGCTCGCCGGCGTCCGAGCCGGCCTTGACGAGCGCCGGGAAGAAGTGCGTGAGCGCATCGACGACCGGGTTCGAGTGGCCGGTCGCGGTCGAGGTTGCAGCAGCGGAGAGGATGGGCGAGGCGATGAGCTCGAGGACGCGCGGAAGGGCAACTTCTTCGACGAGGCCGACCGTCTCCTCCGACGGAGAGGCGGCAAGGAGGTTCGAGAGGGTGAGAAGCGCATGCGGGACGAGGTTGATGTCGCCGGCAGCCGAGCCCGAGTCGGCGGCGAGGAGAGGCGCGAGATCATTGACGATGGCCTGGGTCGTGTCGGCCGAGATAGCTCCGCCACCGCGGGCGAGAAGCGCGTCGAGGGCGTCAAAGGCGGCAATCTTGAGCGGGCGGTGAACCTTGCGGAGGAGCGCCGAGACCTCGGGGAGGCATTCCTGCGCCCAGGTGTCGACAGCTTCGAACGCGCCGGGCTTGAGTACGGGGGATGCGGCGACCTGGCCGACGACAGTGACGGCCGTGACGCGCTGGACCTCGTTGCGGAGGCGGTCGCGGAGGAAGGCGAGCGAGGTTGCGAGGTGGTCGCCGGGAGCGCAGTCGCCCGAGTGGTAAAGGAGCGTGCCGAGCGTCTGCATGCCCTTGCCCTTGACCTCCTCGTCGGCATCCGATCCCGTCAGCTTCTTCATCGTCGCCTCGTAGATGGTCGAGAGGTGGGCGACGTGGGCGGGCGCGAGCTGCGCTGGCTGGCTGTTGGACGAGACGGGACGGAGGACCCTGATGAGCTCTGAAGCGGTGAGGAACGCCTCGGCGGCGATCTTGTTGAACCTGTCACCGATGGCGTTGGCGATGAGCGGGACGAGCTTGGCGAGCTCGTCCGAGAACGTCTTGACGTGGTGGGTGCGGAAGAAGAGCGCGAGGAACGAGAGAACCTCGATCTTGAGGGACGTCGCGGCGCCCGACAGACCCGAGTCGGACGTCTTGAGTGCCGCCTCGACGCGCTGGACGAGCGCCGGGATCTGCGTCTCGAGACCGCCGCCTTCGAGAACCGCGACGAGCTCGTGGAGGAGGACAAAGCCGGCCTGGCGCGTCGGGATCGATTTGGCGACCGTGAGCTGCTTGACGATCGACTTTGCGATCGTCGGCGTCTGCGCCTGCAGCTGCGCGAGCGGGCTCGCCTCGCCCTCGGTGTCCATCTGGTCCTCGTCGCGCTTGCGCTTGAGGTGCCCGCGCGGGCTCGCACCGCCGTGGGTGCCCTGCGCCTGCTGCTGCGCGGCATGAGGACGCGTGACGACCTTGGTCTGCTTGAGCAAGGCCGTGTAAGTCGCCCAGACTTCGACGCGGACGGTCTCTTCACGGTCACCGAAGCGCGCGATGAGCGCAGGCGAGACGGTGCGGTAGAAGTTGGCGAGGAGGTCGGCCCGCGTCGAGATGCACGCCGTGAGGAGCTTGGTGGCGCTACGGCGGACCTTCCAGCTCGTGTCGTCCTCGTCGTCGTACTCGTCCTCAAACTCTTCATCGTCCTCGTCATCCCCGAACGCATCGTCATCGTCCGACGCGCCAGCCATCTCCTCGTCCTCGTCGTCTCCCGCCCAACCCGCAAAATTCGGGTCGTACTTGAGCAACTCGACGGCCTTGTCGACGATCGCGCTCAACTGCCCGCCCGTCTCTGCCGGGCAACGGAGGACGAACCCCTCGAGGCACTGCAAGACGCCCTCCTTCGCCTCGTTGTCGTCACGCTCGGCAGCCTTCAAGACGAGCGGAACGAGTTCGCCCGCCTTGGGTCCGATCAAGCGAGGCGCCGAACGCGCGAGCGCACCGACGAGCGAGACGGCCGTGCGGAGCTGTTCCTCGTCCGAATCCTTGAGCGCGGGGAGGACCGTGCCAGTGACGAGTTTGTCAAAGACGTCGGCGCTCGCGGCGGAGGGGACGAGGACTGCGAGGGTCGAGACGGTGCGCTTGCGGACTGCTGCGCGGCCGTGGGAGAGGAGCGGGGTCGAGGCTTTGAGGATCGAGGACTGGATCGCGGGGAGGGTGCGGATCGTCGTCTCGAAGCGGGAGAGGATGTCGGAGAGGAGGTCGAGCGAGTCGAGCACGAGTTCGGCGGACGAGGCGGGCTGTGAGCCACACGGCTGTACGAATCAGTCACCATGGTCGTGCAACGAATGACTGAACTCGTCGGGCAGACTCACGTCACCAAGCAACTTGACCACCTCGGGCGCGAGCCTCTGACAGCAAGTCTGCGCCAACGCCGTCCCAGGCTGGACCTCGCCGACGACCATCTTGAGACCGAGCGAGGCGATGTCGCGGACGCCGTCGTCCGGGTCAGAAGTGAGCGCGACGAGGCGATCGATGGTGGTCTGGATGCGGGCGGGAGAGAGGTGAGGGACGAGCGTGGAGAGGCTGTCGTGCGCAGGAGAGGTAGTCAGTACAGATGTCCTTCGCACTCTTCGATGACTCGAGCGGCCTGAGGACAGGCCTGCGAGCCAACCGCGCGCGAGGGACTCGGGCGCCTGCGAGAACCGCGCGAACTCACGTCCTCACCGCCCCGCCCTTGACTTCTCCATTGACGTCCTTCACGAGCGCGAGCACCTGGTCGACGAGCGCATACTCTGTCGCGTCGTCGATGCCGAACGAGGGCGAGCGCGACTCGGTCTGCAGGTCTTGCAGGGCCATGAAGCTAGGAGGTTAGCGAGTTGAGGGGAGGCATGGGAGGCGTGGTGGCATCGAGGCGGGGAAGAGTGATGGCAGGTCGACCGTCAGAGGAGGCCAGAACAGACGGCGGATACAGGTGGAAGGGGAGGAAAGGCGGCGAGGAGCGACGAGGTTTCGAGGATGGTCGGCGACGCAGAGTCGGGTGAGTGGCGAGGGTAGCGTAGGCGTTCGAGGACATCAATGAGGTGTCAAAGCGCACGACAGCATGCGTGTCCAGGCAAGGTGAGTGGGATTGACGAGGTCGAGGTGGGGGTGCGATGGAAGCGGGTCGAGACGAGCTCGTCAGCACGCCAGTCCGCCCCGTGCGCCTGTCTGGTCACTTCAAAAGACTCCCTGCACTCACCGGAGGTCCGCATCCGGGTTCTTGAGCTGTGTGCGCGGGTGATTACGACGGGGACGGGGTCAGTGAGCGGGACGAGGACAGCGAGCGCAGGACAAGCGTGTGGGACGCTGTGCGCACCTTTGTGAGCAGCTGCGACACTGCGTAGCTCGACTTTGCCATCGTAGCGCGACCAGTCGAGTCGAGGGACGGAGCGAGAGAGATGTCAACCTCGTCCCGCTCACTCTCGACACGCTCACACAACGCTGGCAGGGCTGTTCGAGTGCTCACTGGACTCGAAACGACGACGATGCTGCAACGCGTCTTGCACCGGCTGCAAACGACGCGGGTGTCGCTCCCCACCACCGACTCCTCGCCTTCATCGTCCCTCCTTGCGTCCAACATCCGCACAGACGAGCGAAGGCGCACGAATGCACCCTTGTCGACTCTCCTCAGCGCCATCCTCCTGCCCGGCGCACTCCTCGCCTTGTCGCTCCTCACCCTCGTCTACCTCCTTCCCTCGGCACAAGACACTCTCGAACCGGGAAAGGGCAAGGGAGACTGGAAGCACAGGAACGGCAGCAACGTCGACGTTTTTGAGCGGTTCTGGATTAGCACGAAGGAACCTGGGACGGGAAGGGAGGCCAAGGCTGCGTTCATCGGTGCGTCTCGCTGAAGCGGGACTGTTCTCGCGGGCTGGCCGTCTGTCGAGCCTCGCGAGATGAAAGTTCCAGGTCGAGCTCATACTCAACTTTGTTACAGCCCTCGGCGCGACCATGACCGACTTCCTCCTCACCAACTCGCCCTCCGCTTCTCCAATCGACCTCGTCCTCGGCTGTCAGTCTCCCCGTCCGTTTCGCGGCCTCCTTAGTTATAGACTGACGGCTGACGCGATGCAGACGAGAACACCACGTCGTACCTGACCGCCGAACAGAACGCCTACTTTGGCGCCGTGGTCGGCCGGTACGCGAACCGCATTGCGAACGGTGCGTTTCGCGCGGCTCTTTGCCCTCCCCATCTTCATGACCCTGAAGCGGACGACAGCTAACCCGTGCCGACCGCGTGCACAGCGTCTTTCACCGACCCCTCAACCGGGCAAACGACTCACCTCCCCGCCAACGAACGCGGCAAGACCACCCTGCACGGCGGCACGAGCGGCTACTCCCGCGCCGGGTGGAAAGTGCGCGAGAGGACGGGTGACAAGGTGGTGTTTAGCTTGAGGGACGAGGGGGCGGAAGGTGTGTTCGGTGCTGGCTTGCTTCGGCGGCCTCTTCCTGTATGGGCGAGACGAGCTGATTAGCGCTGGAGGATGTCAATCGCACAGGCTTCCCCGGGACGGTGATCACCACCGCCACCTACACCCTCCTCCACACTCCCATCCGGCTGCGCACCCAGTTCTTCTCCCGCGTCCTCCCCTCCAACTCGTCCTCCTCCGCCTCTGCCCGAACACCAATCATGCTCTCGTCGCATACGTATTGGAACCTCGATGGCTTCCAGCGGGATTTGGGCGGGAAGGGGGGAAGTGGACGGGCGGAAGAACATGAAGTTTGGGTAGAGGCGGAGAAGCGGGTCGAGGTGGATGATGATCTAGTGCGTTCTTTGTCTTGCTTCCGTATCGTATTGTGTGTCTCTTTTGCGCACGCTCGGACTGATACGCGGCTACGACGACGAGCGCAGATCCCGACAGGTCGCATCGTCTCGATCCCGCCAAACTCGGCATGCGACTTCTACTCCTCCTCCACATCTTTCTCACCGCCGGTCCAAGCGCCGACGCTCGGCGAGAAGCTGGAGATGGACGAGATGCGCGGGCTGTGCGGACCTGGTGCGTCGCTCACTTAGCTTGCGGCTTGCTCTCCTTTCTCGGGGACTCAGCTGATCGGCGAGATTGGTGACGGTACAGGATGTACCGGTCTCGACACGGCTTTTGTGCTCAGCCGGTCGGAGAGGGACGTCGAGAAGGACGTCGTCATGCGGATGCAAAGTCGGGCGAGCGGCATTCGGTGCGTCTCGCTTTCGCGTCTTTCTCGCTTTGACCGGCGTCCAGAGGAATGAGATTGACGACGTCCCAATGCTGGCGCACAGCATGGACATCCGCACGAACCAGCCCCTCATCCACCTCTTCTCCTCCTCGACCTTCTCGCCCACCTCCTCGAGCGGCTTCCCCCGCAAACCCTCACATCTTCCCGCCGGCGAGCTCGCGGAGGATGAGCGGTACTATCCGCGGTATGGGGCGCTCGCGATCGAGCAGGAGGGATGGATTGATGCGGTGCATCACGCGGAGGAATGGGGAGTGGATCCGGTGCGTCTACGTTCGCCTTTTCTTGCAACTTTTCCGGTGTCGGCGCGACGACGAACTGATGGAGGTGCGGTGCGGGAGCGCAGTTCTACTCGCCCGAACGGCCGTACTCGTGGTGGAGCGAGTACGAGTTCTCGCAGCTCGACTAGCCTACGCCGCGTCGCCTGCTCCACTCGCCCGCTCCACTCGCCTCTCGAGGCAGCCTCTCCAGCACTATGTATCCCTCGGCGACGACATTTGTACCAGTACCTGCATCGACACTTACCTCTTGCTCTTACCCGAGCGGGCTGCCTTCCACGCTTGCAGTCGTGGATCTTTCTGCGGATCGCAATCTGCGAACGGCGACGTCGGCGCTTCTCCGAGCTTTCGTCGCGAGGAGACCGGACAACCGGAGTTGACCGGAGGTTGTACGGAACATCCTCGGAGCGCCCGCAAACGGTCTCTCTCCTTCCTTTCACTCTCTCCTCTCGTTCCGTCACCTGCTACTGTATCTTCGCCCCGCCATGTCTCGCGACTGGCTTGCCGCGTTCGAATGCCTCTTCTCCGTCATCTCGCTCGACCTCCCTCACGAAGTCGCCGCTCGGCACGGAGTCGTGGAGACTATTCGTCAGTGGAAGGAGCGCATGCCCCATCTGCTCGTGAATGAGCGCTATCACTTTGAGGGCGAGCACGAGGCGGCTGGAATCCGCGCGCTACATCTCACGCTTGTCGCCTGCGCTAAGGCAATTGAAGGGCAAGACATTGATCCCCTCAGGTCATTGGTACGTCCACGCTTTTTCTCCATCGCTCGATGCGGTGCCGCCGCTGACGGCGCCGCTGACGCCCGTTCTGAACAGCCGACGGCCTCGCAGCTCGTGTCCGTCTTGGAGACAGCGGTGCGTCCCCCTCACTATCCCGCATCTCTCAGCTGCTGACATTCGGAGGTCCGGCGAGCAGCGGCCACTCCAGCTTGTCCACCTCGAATGGCAGATGCGAACCGAGGCATGCCGCGTGAGTTCAGCTATCCGCCGTTCCCCGTGGCCTCTTACGAGCTGACGATACGCCTGCGCGTTCCCTTGCTTGGTCACTAGAGTCACTTCGGAGACACTATCTCCACCCAGCTCGTCAACTCTCGACCGACGCACTACATCGACGGCACCGCCATCACCGTCCTCGCCTGGCGTGCATGGTTGAATGCAGCCGACGCTGGCACTCTGTCGCACTCGGTTCGGCAAGCTACGCACCGTCCGGCTCGCGAAACCACCATCTTTGCCACGATCCGGTGGATGTACTACGCCCTCTGGTGCCAGCGCATTACTCTCGAGACGATGGTGAGCGCGTTCACCTATTCCGCATGCTCATAACATTCTGACAAGTCTCGGAGCTGGATCAGCCCAGTCACGAAACCTTGTTGAGCTCTATCCGACAAAATGTGCGTGCATTTCCATCTGCGTGCCGGTATCTTCTCTCCTTCCGCATGCTACTCCTGCAGACGGTCCTCATCTTTGGTGCAACGCGGGGCGAGGTTGGCTGGGCCAACAAAGTCGGCATCGATGTAAGCGGAACCCACCTTCTCCCACACCGGTGCTCTGCTAAGTCACGTCTCTCCTGCAGGTTGCCTTCCTTCACCCTCGAATGCTCCACGAAATGGGCAAGCTGGGTCACAGCGCCCCGCCTGCCATTCTTCAACCGCAGCCACAGCTCACCGGCCATACCGGCTGGCAAGAGCGTTCGCTCCTCAAGCCCCGCCTCGGGTTCCGCACGCGCAAGATCTATGGGGTGGATGCGTAGACGGTACGAGGATCAAAGACACTTATAGCTTTGCAACGTCCTCGTGTGTCCCATGCTGCAACTCGCTGGGAGGCGCACGCCGCATGATTGCCTGCTGTCCGCTGGCTACGAGAGCGTGTCGAGGTGCTCCGACGGATTTGAGAAATACCCTGATAACAGCGTGCTTCGGCGGAGCGTTGTGCAACTTGTGCTGTAGCGAGTCCGTGGCGAGTCCGCGGCAAGTCCGATCGTCCGCGACCTCCTCGTTCCCTTTCCCTCCCTCCTGCTCCTTGGTCCTGCCTCCTCCCGCACAAACATGTCGGCTGTCCCACCAGACTACGCGCAGAGGACGCTGGCCGCGCTAGTCGCACGTGAACCGCACCTCCAGACCTGGCGAGACAGTCTTGATGTCGAGGAGATCCAGCAGGCGCTGGCGCGGGGCGGGCGAAACGCTGTACAAGACTTTGTCATCTCTGTCGCCCTTTTGAGGATTGCAGGGTCTCCGTCATCCATCGTCAAGCGTGGTGAACCGGTCCTGGTGCGTTCGTCACCTTGGTTGTCCGCCTTCAACGAGCTGATCGAAACTAAGCACAGCCGAACACGCACGACCTGGTGGCAGCCATCGAAGCTAGGGTACGTCGCTGTTCCAGCGGAGCACGAGACCGAAGACTGAAATTGCGCCGCGAAACAGCGTCTCCTGATCTTCAACCTCCCTGCCGCCTTCGTTCAGCACGCCATCCAGACGATCGTGCGTCTCACTTGACCTTCAACAACGCCGCTGACCGTGCGCTCCACAGCAACGCGGCTTCGAGGCGCAAGCGCGCAAAGCCAACGCCACGAATGCGTCCGCGCTGTGGGCTCTGAGCAACGCGGCCGTCAACCCCGAGCTGTGGATGCTCAGCGAGGCTGCCAATGCTGGGCAGCAGCACTCGCTCCTCAAGCCGTCGATCGGGCGTCGAGTCGCGAGGATGCACGGAACGACGAAGGAGGACTGGGAGAGGCGCGCGAGGGCTTTCTGAGCGGGTGGGCGGCGTTGGGAGGCAGGAAGGTAGACTGCGGTGTATGTCGAGCACTCTGCGGCCAGTCCAGACACGCTGCGAGACGAGCAAGTCGGCGGCGAGATGAGGAGCAAGAGGGGAACAAGCGGAGTGAGCATCGCTTGGGGCGCTGCGAGCACGCTACGATAGGCTCTTGAAAGCTTTTGGAGCGAGAGAAGCAGGCCAGCTTGTCCGTCAGAGCGCGAGCAGGGTGGTGTAGGAGGTCGAGAGATGAGAATCGCTCGCTCGCTCTCGACACCACGGCTCGACTCGGCTGGAAGCTTGCTGCAGCAGTGCTATACCTTCTTCTCGACACAGGACCATCGCCTGAACGACCGCCAGCTCTTTCCCGTCGTCGCCTCGCTCTTCCCCCACCTCCTCACGCCTCGCGACCGTCATTGACCCGGAAACAGCGACGACGAGGGATGTCGACTCTGCGAGACTACTTCCCAGCCGCCACTGCACACCGCCACTCGCCCAGCCAACCCGCACACTCCGTCTCAGGACCGAACCTCCTCCCCGTCTCGCCTCGCAGATCACACTCGTCCCTCCCTTCCATCGGCTCGAGCACCCGCGACGGCATGAATATCGCGGCGAGCTTTCCCGTACCGAGATACCTGCGGCATGCGAGCCTGTACGAGGGCAGGTTCGAGACGGTGCCCCGACTTCTCGTCGACGAGGGGGTTCCGGCGTTCGACGAGATGAGCGCGACTTCGAGCGCGAAAGGGAAAGGTCGAGCATCGTTGTCGCTTGCTCTCGGGGTCGGCGATTCGATGGCGAGCACGAGCGCCAGCGCCAGCGCACGATCATCCGGTGTCGACCCCTCTCCCGTCCCGCCTATCCTCCTGCCAACCTGCTGGGATGCCGACGACCGCTGCTCCCTTCTCGAGATCACGAGCGACCGGATGGGCGTCTCTTTCGCCGGTGCGTTGCGCGCGCTCTTTCCTCCCCCTCCGATTCAGGGTGCTGACTTTTGCTGCCGGTCGTGCAGGATCCGCAAAGTACGGCGACCGAGACGCTGCAGCGATACGAGCGAACAGGCCTGTCCCGCCACAAGCGGGCATCTACTACTACGAGGTGACGATTCTCGACAAGGGCGTGAGCGGGTACATCGGTACGTTCACGTCTTCCGGACTCAGACGGTCTACAGGCAGCTGACTAACCGGCATCGAACGCGTCTAGGCATTGGCCTCAGTCACAGGACTGTCTCGCTCTCGCGGCTGCCTGGATGGGAGGACAAGTCGTGCGTTGCCGATCCTTCTTCAGCTTCCACCGCCGGATCTCGCTCACCTGCTTTCGCCCACAGGTACGGCTACCACGCCGACGACGGCCGCGCTTTCTGCTCGCAAGGCACCGGCGAACCCTTCGGTCCGACCTTCACGACCGGCGACGTGATTGGCTGCGGCGTCGACTGGACGGGCGCGGGACCGCCTGTCACGGACAAGGAGCGGAGCGGGCTGCGAGGCGCGGCGGCGAAGGAAGCGGCGGCGAAGGGTGGAGGCGGGAGGGCGTTCTTTACCAAGAATGGCGAGTTCATCGGTGCGTCAGCAGTTCGTCGGATTGGATCAGGCTGTAACCACGTTAGACGATGCGCTAACGATTCTTCGCTACCCTCGCAGGCTACGCCTTTTGCAACCTGCAAGGCAAGCTGTACCCGACCGTCGGCCTGCGGACGCCGAACGAGGCGATCCGCGTCAACTTTGGCAACGAGCCATTTCGCTTCGACATCGAGGGCCTCGTTCTCGTGCGTGTCTATCACGACTGCCAGATGTCGCTAGCTTATGCCTCTGGACCCGCAGGAACGGAAACGAACGATTCTTTCCCGCCTCGCCTCGACCCCGCTCGCTTCGACGTCCTTTCTTCCCTCTCCCGCTCCGCCCATCCCCGCTCTCCTGCCGCCAACGCCGCAGGACCGGCTACACGAGACTCTCCAAGCCGTCATCTCCGCCTACCTCGTCCACCATGGCTACGCCGAGACTGCTCGCGCCTTTACCGAACAGATCAGCGAGGAACGGCTTGAACGGGCGCAAGGCCTCTTGCCGAGTACTGCACCTGCGACTACTACGAGGCCTCCCGCTTCGACCGACTCGGACGACCTCGTCGCCTCGATCGCTGCCTCGTCCGCCTTGCGAAGCGAGATCCGACAAGCGGCCTTGTCTGGCACGGGCGCCGAGCGAGCCCTCGCGCTCGTCCAGGAGCACTACCCTACGGCCTTCGCTGACGAGGCCGACTCGCGCGAGGAGGACGGCGGCGTGTTGTTCAAGATGCGGTGCCGAGTCTTCATCGAGAAGGTCGTCGAGTGGAGTCGGGCGAACCGCGATCCTGCGGCAATGGAGAGCGAAGATGCAGGTGACATCTCGATGGACGGCGAGGCGGGTGCAGCGGAGACGATCGCGCTCGACTCGCTCCTCGCGCTCGGCCAGTCGCTTCACGCGCAGTACTCGGCGGACCCGCGCCCGGTTGTCCGAGCCGAGCTGCAGGCTGTGCTTGGACTGATGGCGTACCGCGACCCGGAGAACGAGGCGACGGGGAGGACGAGGGAGCTTGTCGGCAAGGCGGAGCGGGAGAAGGTGGCGGACGAGCTGAATCGGGCGGTCTTGCGTGCGTTCGCGGCTTTCTCCTGTCTTCCCATTCCGCCCGACAGCTCAGCGCTGCTTTTCACACTCACCTAATGCTGACTCGCTTGCTGCTCTTGACCGTAGGCGCCGCCAACCTTCCGCCCGTCCCTGCTCTCGAAGCCCTCTACCGCCACGCGTCCGCCTCGATCCAGCTCGCCGGCGACGTCGGATGCGGGAGTGCAGCGATGGTCGACGTGCGGAGTGAGGTGCTCGGCGACTTGACCGGTGCGTGAGCGAGACAGGTCGTCGCTCGTGAAGGACGGCGTACAGGTGTTGTTGTTTGATCGAGACTTCTTTGCACTTTTATCGCTCTACCGCTCTAGTCTGTCGCCGGGAGTACCGCTGCATTCCTGCTGCCCCTTTCATGACCTGTCGCTCAAAACGCCCTCGCCTGCCTCTCCCACCGCTGCTTTGTCGTCCCGTGCATGAGCGCGACCCGACGGCTGATCTCTGGCTTGAGCAGCGAGTGTTGCTGACTCATCCCGACGAGAGTGCGTGCCGCCGCTTCCGCTTGCTGGTTTGCGACTCGCCCTTGCTACGAAAGGAGGAGCAGTCAGCTTCAGGCGTACACTGTAGGACTACGAGTGACTCACGAGGTGTGCACGGATGACGTGCACTTCCGAATCGGTCAACCCAAAGTGCAATGGAGTCTGCGAGTGCGAAGAGAGCGAAGTCCTCAGTGGCAGCATTAACCCGAATCACCCGCCAAACATACACAGCTGGTGATTGCCGAGATGAAGTCGTCTGTCGATGGCCGACCGTAGAAACCGTCAGTCTGGCAAGGGAGGAGGAAAGAAGGCGGTAGCGCACCAGAGCTGTGAGACGACCAGTGTGGTAAGCGTGGGCGAGGCACTTTGCCATGACTGCGAGCGTCATTGAAGCGTCTCGAGGTGTCGCGCTTTGCTCAAGAGCTTGCTGGACTCTGGCATCGTCGATGGTTCGTCGCCAGGGAGCCAGGCCAGAGTCGTTGCGCGGAAGCGAGTTGAGGACGCTCGAAGCGTAACGAGGTGCGACGGCGCTCATCGAGTTCGATGGAAGGGCACGAATGAGAGCGTACGGCGTGAAGCGAAGCGAGGAGGAACCCAGGAGCAAGCGAGTAGAACTGCGGACATTCCGCGGACCGGCTTCATCGACGTGAGGCAGCAGCGGCTTGGCAGCGCCTCTCAGATCTCAAAAGGGACTATATATGCGGTTGCACAACCTTACAGGGCACGCTCTTTGCAGCACGAACAAACAGCGTCCCCCTCTACTTCGGACCTTCCCAACTGACCTTTGCCGTACGATAGGCGCCGCTCTTGCGCCATTCTCGCCACTAGCGCGGACCGGATTCGCTAGAACGCCCTTGCCTGCCTCTGCCACCTCTCCTTGGTCGTCCCGTGCATCAAGGCGACACGGCGCGCAATTTCGGGCTTGACGAGCGACCGCTGGTTCGACGAGTTGTACTGGCCGTGGAAAGGGCCAAGGAAGCCGGGTAGGATGTAGTTCTCGTGCTCTGAGCTGACGTGGCGTGCTGTGGGACCAGCCTGTCGAGGAGAGAGTCGAAGGAGGCAAGTTGGTGATCTCGGACAACTTGAGAAGCGGCGGAACAAGGCTTACTGATCCTGCAGCCTGCAGTGGTCGCAGAGTGTCAACTCAGCTGTCCATCAACCCATGAGAAAACTGCACGCCGCCAACTCACAACTCGAGTTTGTGGTTCAGGATCCAGCCATCCTCCGTGCGGTCCGTAGTGCTGGTCAAAGACAAGTGGCCTCTGCAGGAGTGGCAAGCAACCAACATCTCAGTCAAGCGGAGCGCAAAGGTGCTGCTGTTCGTACCGCCGGAGGGAGAGCAGGTCGACGTACGCCGCTTCGCAAGACGCCGCACAGCTGGTCGGTGGTCGGCTGGAGGAGCAGACACGATCTTAGCGCAGGCTAGGACTTGACAGAATTAAGCATCTGACGCACCATCTGGCTGTCGTGGACGATCAAGCTGGCACGCAGAGGCTGGCGGCAAGCAGAGACGGTCTGTTTGAGCGCCTCGACATGCTTGCTGAAAACGCCCTCGTTCAAATCATACTCGAGCTGGATGTAGAGCTGAGTGAGCGGCTCGAGACTCTCGCTGCGCCACTTGGCGACGTCGACGTTGAATTGGAAGTTTGCCCGAGCGTCCCGCGCTGGCGCGAGGACGAGGATATTCCAGATGGCGTTGCGGGCGAGCTCGTAGGGCCGCTGAGCACTCATGGGGACTGTAGAGAAAGTCGAGAGGATCCGCGAGATATCCAAGGAAGGAGAGGCCTGAACGAGCGACGTTAGGGGGATGTTCCGCGGAGCGGCGGTCTGCTGGCCGATCCCGGTGCCGGCCGGGGCGGTCGCTTGGGCTGAGGACGAGGATTCGGGCTTAGGCTTAGTTGGCAGAACCAGTCCATTCTACTCGAATCCCCTCAGGTTCCGCAAGTTTGCGAGAACCGTGTCGGCGTCCGTACCGACCGCCTCAGCAAGCTCGACTTGCCGCTCGAGCGGGAGCATCTCGAAAGCCGCGAGGAGATCGCCGTCGAGGATGCCCTTGACGATTGCGCGCGAGACCGTGTCGTTCTTGACGATGCTGCCCGGGGAGAGCGGGTCAGGGAGGGCGTCACGAGAAGCGGAGACAAGCGACTAGACGCACCGGTACGCTCGAGGGTTGAGGCCGCCAAAGTGGAGGACATGCCGCGACATCAGAGCCTGCAGCGACTGGAGGCGGCGGAAGACGGCGTCGCGGACCGGGACGAGGGTAAAGAGCGAGCCGTCGAGCCCACCTGCGAGGCGAGAACCAGCTCAAGTCAGCACGGAATTCGTCAAGCGGAGGCGAGGGTGGACGCACCGTAGAGGATGCCGCTCTGCTTCGCGTCTTCGTTGGGCAAGTGCTTGGCAAAGAGCGTCGAGGCGATCGATTCCGCGCCAGCGTGATACTCTGTCCGGCACATCAAGCGTTGACCGGCGTGCGAGGCGATGTCTGCGCGCGAGGGGTGTGAGTACAACGGTTCTGGCGAGGCTGGGGCGAGAGCGCTCACTCGTTGGGTCGTACTCGAAGAGACGCAGGACACCCTTGTCGTCGTTGGAGACGAACGCGACCTTGCCCTCGTTGACGATAAAGTTCGAGCCTTCGACGCGGGACGGGCGGTAGTCGCGGCCGAGCATGACGAGTTTGTACGGGTCCTCCTGCAGAGTCAAAGCAATTTCAGCTGGCATCCCTCAATCGCGCACGGGTGGACGCACCTGGAACGCGACGAGCGAGATGCTCTGCTGCTCGTCGCCGATGAGGAGGAAGTTCTTGAGCGCCGTCAAGCTCGTGACGTGCACGCCAACGTCTAGGAAGCCGACAGCGAGGAGGAACTCGTCCTGCTCGAACGCACGAGCGTACAACTTCTGGCCCATTGAGAGGAAAAGGTAGCCGTTCAGGTCGCAGACGTTGTTGACGGCCGCCTTGGCGTCTTCGAAGAAGAGGAGGCGAAGCTGATGGTCGAGGTGAGGCGTGGCGGGATGCGGGATGATCTGGACGACCTCGAAGACGTAGATCTGCGGGCGCGGTAGCGAGTTCAGTCAAGCTCTCCGGCGATGCAATCTGGTGGTCCGGACTCACGCCGCCCCGCGTCGCCAGGTCTTCTGCTCGGTGGATGGCGGTGCCGACGGCGATAAAGTCGCGAGTGCCGGTGCGCGTGCTCTTCGAAGCGAGGCTGACCGACTTCATCGAGGTGACGAACTCATTTTGGCGGAACTCGTAGCTGCGAGCGACGAGCATGGTCAATGATAGTTGCGGGCTCGCGAGAGACGGAAGACGCACCCGTGGATCGCCTGCCAAGAACCAGGAACGAGGAGCTCGAGCGTCGAGCGGTAGTTCATGGGCTCGAGCAGCTCGGGAGCTGTGGCGGACGTAGTCAGCCTCGCTCTCGCTGCAGATGTGCTCGCCCACTCACCCTGCTCCTTCCACAACGGGTTGCCCTCCTCGTCGAAAGCGACGAAGCGGGTCTTGTGCAGCGTCGCGCCAACGTACGTGCCCGAGTCAAGGTCAAAGGCGAGGTGGCCGTAGACGCGGTCCTTCGGGATGTGCGTGTATGGGATGACGGTGTCGAGCGAGAGGGCGGGCGGTAGTCGTGCAATCGAGAGGCCCTGCGACCGGAGGCGTCAGTTATGCGCGGTACAGGAAACGGAACGCGCTACACACCTCGCGAGTCTGCATCGCCAGCTCGTCACCCTCGACCGGTCCGCCACGCTCGTCCCGCTGCTGTCCGCCGCCAAGCTCGACGATGCCGTAGACACCCCGGTCCGAACTCTCGAAGCATCGCGCCGGACCATGGTCACCCTTGAGCACCCAGAACGCCTCTTCGCCCGAGAGGAACACGCCTGCGTGTCCGCCGATGCTGGAGAACGGGAGGCAGTCTCGCCGAGGCGAAGGGAGGTCGGAGGCGGCTGCGGCGCCCTTTCGTCGCAGAGGGGCGGAGGGAAGGTGTCGAACGAGGGTCTTGACGAAGCGGGCGGCGAGTCGGGGAGGTGGAGGAGCGGAAGCGTCCGAGGTAGGCGCGACTGAGTCGGGAACGGCGGAGAAGGAAGGGAACGCTTCGTAGACGGCGAGCTGGCCGCTCGTCAGCAGGATCTGCGGCGATCGTTCGTCAATGTGTGCACGCAGAGCCAGAGTCAAGTCGAACGCACCATAAGGTGGACCTTCTCGCGCCCCTTCCGCCCGACGTTCGCAACAAAGACACGCTCGACCTTGACGTCGTCCTGGTCGATGTTCTCGGCAATCACGCGGTCCTCAACGCCGTCCTCGATGACCTCGGGAAGGAGGGTGACGGCGGACGACGCAAAGATCTCGGTGCCGGAGGGCAGGAGGCGGATCTGCGGTCGGGAGACTTGGTCAGTTTCTGCGAACTTGTCCGGAGCACGGGGCGGAAGCGCACCCTCAAGTCGCCCTTCGCGTCCACCTCAGCGAGCCACTCCCACCGGTCCTGCGCCTCGCCGCCCATCTCCTGCGGCCGCACAATCCGGTCCTTCTCGACCTCCCCGCCTGGCGCCGCCTCGCTCGTCCCGTTCACGCCATTCGCCTTCGCATCCACCTTGCCCGAGCCGCCGTACAGGTCCTCCTCGTCCTCTTCCATCGCGTCGAGCGCGATGACGCCTCCTCCGTTCACCTGCTTCTTCGCCTTCTTCGCCGCCGGCCGCGCGTGGGGAACAAGATCCAGCTCGTCGCGGAAGACTGCGGCGCGCTTGCCGAGTCGGGTGTCGTCCGCTTCGGTCGAAGGGAGGACCGAGTCGAGCGGGAGGAGCTGCAGAGTCGAGGGGTCGAGGTGGTAGATGAGCGGTGTTGTGCGGGCTCGTGCGCCGCCGGTTGCGGTCGAAGGGGCGTGGATGACGAGGTAAGAGGAGGTCGAGGTGACATGCGGGTGGTGCGCGACGGCGTGGAGCGGGACAGGCAAGGCGAGGTTCTGCAACGCGTTCAGGTCTGCGAGCGGGAGGTGAGGTCAGTGCCGTCTTTGCTGTTCGAGTGTGGGAACGACGCACCCTGGTCGTAAATATTGATCGCTTCGCGCGAAACGGTGACGACCACCTGCCCGCCTGCCATCGCGAAGGCCGCGAGAGTCGAGACGTCCGGCTCTTCATGGACGAGCTGCAGGGCGGCGGTCGTGGCGGGCGTCGAGCCGGGGAATGGTCGGTAGAACTGTGCGAAAAGCAGACGGCACCCATCAGTTTCCCAGAAGGACAGAGAAGCTGAAGACCGCGGCGCGCTCAACGCACCAAAGTCCTCTCCTTGTCACTTCCCACCCACACCTCCTCCGTCCCCTCGGCCTCACTCATCGCCCTCGGCGCAAGCTTGAGCCTGCACAGTCCGACGGTCGGGACGAACGCAGCTGGTTCGAGTGAAGGATCGGTAGGAGGAGCGGCGGTGGATGGGAGGTGCAGGGCACGGCGCGAGGTTGGGTAGATTTGGCGCTGCGGGGCCAATTAGACGTCAGTTCGGAAAGCGGAGAGAGGAGGAGAAGGGAACACACGCGGAAGATGGTCAGGCCAGCGGTCTTGCCCGCTCCAGTTGCGGCAACGATCTCGGCGGGAGACTGCACGAGCCAGCATCAACGTCCGTCAGTCAGGTACGGCGCCTACTAGCCGGTACTCCGATTCCGCGAGATGAGCGCCCGGCAGCAACGACCCCGCTCCGAAGGAACGCACCTCATCATCCACCAACCCGCTCACCAAGCCCCTCACAGCCCCATACCCTGGCACCGTATCGCACACCTCGAGTCGTATTAGGTCGTCTGTCGCGGTCACGCTTGGCGAGGAGGAGGAGGCGGAGGGGGCGAGTTTGCGGAAGGAGGGGAGGCTGAAGGGTGTTTGTGCGGGCGGGGCGGAGGAGGTCGAGTCGCCGTAGATGTCTGCGCTCGTGCACAACGAGCCGTGAGCAGCGCGCCTCGGCGAGAAGAAGTAAGCGAGACTGGAAGGGACTCACCATCCTCATCCTCAAGCTCCATCCCATCGACCGCACCACCGCGCTCCTCCTCCTCCCTCTTCTCCACCACCTGCTCCCGCCTGTACGTCCCGCCGCCCCTCGTCCATCTCACAACCGCACTACTCCCCGTCTCGCTCCCGACGAACACCGCTCCCTCCCTCCCCTCTCCTTCTCCACCACCTTCTAGTCGGCGCAAGACACTCGATCCCCCACCCGCTACCAGACCCGCCTCTGCTATTTTCTCCAACTTGAGAGCCGAGACCGCTCGGCCTGTGAGGGTGAACGAGAGCTCGAGGACTGCGCCGGACCTGCACCATACGAGTGCGCGGGGGACCTCTTCGGCGTCCGAGGCGGGCGAGACGGGGGAGAGGAACTCGATTGTCGCGCCTTCCAATCCCTCGCCCTTCTCGCCCAGGGAGGGGTCCAACCGCGCTTCGTCTTCCATTCCTGCGGGTTTGCGCGCAGTAGGTCCAGCAGGCCAGTCCCTCGCAGCCCAGTGGTTCGCTTTGACGCCTACGATCCGTCCGGACTGGTCGACGTGCAGGATCGAGTTGGCTGTGAGGACGAGCGTGCCGCCGAGTGGGAGAGCAGAGGGGTACGGCGTCGGGTGGAGAGAGAGGGCGGTGTAAGGGAGTGAGGGCGAGGTCGAGATCACCACCGCCCTCGTCGGCGGTTCCTCGTCCGTTCCGTTCTCCGCCGGATCGCGCTTGAGGGCGGGTGAGAGCGTCACGAGGGACACCAAGAAGTTCGTCTGCAAGTGCTCGACCCTGCCGGCCCAGGACTGTTCGGGCGCGTACAAGATCGCGAGAGTGGGTTCGGTGAAACCGGGGAGAAACGACATGCTCGCGACGTTGCGGATCGGAGGGGGAGAAGTCGAGCCGGTTGTGAAGGCGTTCGAGGCGATTGATGTCGAGGCGGATGGGAGGGTCGAGGAACGCGCGGCGGATGTCAGTGAGGACGTCGCGTGCGTCGACGAGGCGGTCAAAGCAGCGAGCGGGAGGAGGTGCGAAGGAGCGTAGGGAATGCCCAGTTCTTCCGAGTCGCGCGCGTCCTGCAGACCCAGTCCTTCCCAGTCGAGTTCTTCGCCGAAGAAGGGGAGGAGGGCGAGCGTGCCGTCGCCGCCGGTGTTGGTGGGCAGGAGGAGGGCTGCGAGGCGGGTGAGGGAGGTCGACGAGTTCGAGGTCTGCGAGATGGGCGGGGTCGGGTCGACGGCGAGCAGCGTCGGTCGAGATTCGTCCTGCGCGCACACACCATCAGCTGAGAGCGGACGTGAATCGAGGACGCCTGTGCCCTCACCACCTGGGGCAGCTTTTCGAACGTGTGGAGCGAGACGGGCACCAAGTCGTGCGCCTCTTCGCTCCACTCCATCAGCGACATCTGCGCGCGCGCATAACTCAATCTCTCGTCAGTCTCACCTCCAAAGGACTGAAGGAGGGACGAATGAGCTTACCTTTGCATACTCGAACGCGACCAACAACCTCTCGCACCCGTCTCGCTTGGTCGAGAGGGTCTTGACTGCTTCGATGGCGGTGACGGTGCCGGGCAGGCGGCGGGTGACGAGGTGCGAGAGGGTGAAGCGGCGCGAGGAGGAGGACGAGGTGGGGAGTGTCTGCGCGGGCGAGGGGGGAGGGTCAGTTCGTCAGCTCGAATGCAGTACGAGCAGATGTAGGCCGACGATCTATCGCATGTCCTGGCCAGCGAAGATATCCCGGCCATGCTCCGTCCCTCGAGTTGACATCTCGCGAGAGTAGCGGAGAAGTGCGCGACCCACCTGCTCTGCCGCGCTGGCATGCTCTACGACCTCGTACACCCTGACGACGTTGTTCCTGGCCGTCACGAGATGTCCCCTCGCTCGTCTCGCGTTGTGTGAAGGCGAGGGCGGGGCGAGGGTGCACGAGACGGCGATGGATGCGCCCGAGGGAGGGACGGCGCTGCGGTGGATTGCCGTCAAGGGTGCCATCCCAGCCAAGGCTAGTCTCAGCTTGAGTCTCGAGCTGTGAGATGTGAGAGTGAGCGGGAGAAGAGGGGAAAGAGGGTCGGGATTACAAAGTTGATTACAACCGAGTTTGTATTCCAGCCCATTACAACCCACCGCGACTCCCTCGCTCGTACACTCTGTGCTTGGTCGCTGTGACTGCTTGTGCTTACTCTGTGTGTGTCGACTGCTCCGTAACCCAACGCGACACACGCTCCAACCCGCCAACTCGCGCTCCTCGCCCTCGTCGTCGTCCGCGTTCCCCTCCCGCTCCTCGTCGACCAGCTCGCTCGAACACAGCGCGACAGGATGGGCGTGTGCGCCTCGTGCTGCGGCGGTGAGCACATCCTTACATTCTCAGACTGACCCCAACACCGTCACTCGCTGCGCCCGCCGTTTCCCGCACTGACTCCTCTCTGATCTCCTCATCGCGTCCCGCCTTACCACACGCACACTCGCCAATGAACCCGACTACGCTCTCGTACTCGACTCGCGAACCACGCGAATACCGCCGCCGCCCTGCAGGCTCAAAGTCGTCGGCCCCGTACGAACCCCTCTTGCTCGACAACGAGCGCGAGGCCGTCGCAGACTTGTTGCAGTACCTCGAGAGTGCGTGCCAAGAGATCTCTCGCTCTGAGTTCTTGGAGTTCAGTGTAGGGGCGAGCCGCTGACCGTGTCCTTCCTCGGAATCTCCCTCTTCCTCATGGTCCCCCCCCTCTTCATCTACGATCCTGCTCGGCAACCTCCGCGACGCAATCCTTCTCTTCGCTTGCGCCTCATTCGACTGTACGACCCTCGACCTCCGCCCGAAACCGCCCCGCGTCCTTCCCACGCGAATCGCACGCTCGGGCAATCCTCCTCCCCTTCCCTCCGTATCCTCCTTCTCGCCTCTCCCAAACCTCCTCGCCGCTCTCTCTCTCCACCCATCCACTCCTCCGCTCTCGCGCGCGCAGACCGCTCCGCCACCAACTTTTTCACCGGCGACCCGCTGCGCGCTCTGTCGACCCTTTCCTACTCGGACAACGTCGACCTCCAACGCTCCGCCGCGCTCGCGTTCGCCGAAATCACCGAAAAGGACGTACAGGAAGTCTCGCGAGAGACGCTCGAGCCCATCTTGTTCTTGTTGAACAGCCATGATGTCGAGGTACAGCGGGCGGCGAGCGCGGCGTTGGGTAACTTGGCTGTCAATGGTGCGTGGCCGCGAGTCTCCATTCGTCCTGTCCTGTCGTCTTCTCGACAGTTGAGCGCGCTTATCGCGAGGCGCAGCGAGTGGATCAGCGCTGACTTGCTCTCCTCCTCCCTTCTCGCACTCGCTCTCGCTCGCTCTCGCGCCGCAGCCGAAAATAAGCTCACGATCGTCAAACTCGGAGGCCTCGAACCCCTCATCCGTCAGATGCTCTCGCCCAACGTCGAGGTCCAGTGCAACGCCGTCGGGTGCATCACAAATCTTGCGACGCATGGTGCGTTCGCAGGTCCTCTCCGCTCTTCCGGATGCTGGGGATGGCGCGGGCGGCGGGAAGCGGCGGGGAGGAAAGGTGCCCGTTGGGGGCTCTACGGCAGAAAGCTGACCGTCTTTCGTCCCGCCCCGTTCCCCTCCTTCGCCCTCCGCCGCAACTTCCCCAATCATCCCCCGCGCCTACCTCCTCGCCACTCGCCTCGCTTCACTGCACCCCGCCTCACAGACGAGAACAAGTCCCGCATCGCCCGCTCGGGCGCCCTCAACCCCCTCACCCGCCTCGCCAAAAGCAAGGACATGCGTGTTCAGCGTAACGCGACGGGTGCGTTATTGAATATGACGCACTCGGACGAAAACAGGCAACAACTCGTCGCTGCGGGCGCCATTCCCGTCCTCGTCTCCCTCCTCGGGTCGTCCGACACCGACGTCCAGTACTACTGCACCACCGCTCTCTCCAACATCGCCGTCGACGCCGACAACCGCCGCAAGTTGCAGCAGTCTGAGCCACGCCTCGTCGCCAACTTGATTGCGCTCATGGATTCCCCCAGCTTGAAGGTCCAGTGCCAGGCCGCGTTGGCGTTGAGGAACTTGGCGTCCGATGGTGAGTACCCGAGTCTGGCTTGTTCGGGCGCGGTGCAGTACGATGGGAGAGGTGGACTGTCGAGCCGGCGAGCAGCAGCGCGGTCGTCTGAATGCGTCGGAGAACTGACTTTGCCTCGACCTTCCTCTCCTTCCCCCCATCACTTCGCGCCTCGTGTCACCAACAACGCCTCTCCCTCGCCTCTCTCCTCGCACAACCCACCTCCCGCCCGCGCAGAAAAGTACCAAGTCGAGATCGTCAAGAACGGCGGCCTCCCCGCGCTCCTCCGCCTCCTCCGCTCGTCCTTCCTCCCCCTCGTCCTCTCCGCCGCCGCCTGCGTCCGAAACGTCTCTATCCATCCTGCGAACGAGTCGCCCATCATCGAGTCGGGCTTCTTGGCGCCGTTGATCGACTTGCTTGCGTACGACGAGAACGAGGAGGTTCAGGTGCGCCCGGTCGAGCTTCCTCGCGTTCGTCTAGCTGACCCGTCATCGCCCGCGCAGTGCCACGCCATCTCGACCCTGCGCAACCTCGCCGCGTCGTCAGAGTCGAACAAGCGCGCGCTCGTCGACGCGGGCGCGGCGGAGCGGATCCGCGACCTGGTCTTGCAGGTGCCCGTTGCTGTTCAGTCGGAGATGACTGCGTGTGCGGCAGTGCTTGGCTTGTCTGGTGCGTGCGAGGCGACCTTTCTCGGGACTTGGCGAGGAAACGAGGCTGACCTTTGCATCTTTCGTTTCCTCTTTGACTTCGACTCGCTTGCGACCTCGCCTTCATCCCTTCGCTAACATCATCACGATCGCCTGCTCATGGCCGACAACCACTCGTCACTGCTCGTGCTCCGCTCGCCCGCGCTCACCATCTCCCGCCTTTTCTTCGCCATCGCCTTTCACCCGCTCGCAGAGGACATCAAGGCCGAGTTGCTCGACCTCGGCATCCTCGAGGTGCTCATCCCTCTCACGGCATCGGCGAGCGTCGAAGTGCAGGGCAACGCGGCCGCGGCAATCGGAAACTTGTCGTCGAAGAGTTAGCCTCTTCCGAATCTTCGCCTCTTTTCCTCTCCCTCAATTGACTTTCTCCTTCCGCAGGCGACGACTACTCCGCCTTCGCATCGACTTGGCGCGAACCCGCAGGCGGGCTCGAAGGATACCTCACTCGTTTCCTCGAGTCTGAGGATTCCACATTCAGTCACATCTCGGTATGGACCTTAGTCCAGCTCCTCGAGTCCGGCGACGCCCAACTCGAGTCCCTCATCCGCTCCTCGTCCGCAATCCTCCCGCTCGTCCGCCGCCTCGCCGAAGCGCCACAGCCGTCGTCGGAGGCTTCGGACGATGAGGATGCAGAGTCGGGCGCGCGCGAGATTGCCGAGTTGGCGCGGTCGGCGGTCGAGTTGATCGAGGACGGCGGCGAGGTGGATGCACAGTAGTTTGGCGCGGTTGAGGGTGGATCCTTCTCCTTTCTCTCGCTTGATCAGTCCCTTTCTTCCTCTAGTTTCTCGTCCCTTTCTGTGATACTCGGCTCCTCTCTTCCGCACAATCGTAGCTTCTCGTCCTTGATGTAACTGTCCGTCGTTTGCGCCGTCGCCCCGCCCTAGCTGCGGCGAGCATTTCCTCGTCCTTCCTCCTCGCATTCGGCTTGCTTCGACCTCCCTCCGCCTTCGGCTCCCTTTACCCTCTCTCTGCCTCGCCTCGCCTCGCTCTCCC